AATATTTAATTGTTTATGTGACTTTTATAAATGATTGTGTTTAAAATTTGTATGTGTATGTGTATGAATAATATTATACATAACTATGTTTTTTTTTGTGTTAATTTTGTGTAAATATAGAAATTAAATGTATTATGCGTTAAATGTAGTTATTATAATATATAATTGATGCAGGATTATGGTGGAGACGGAAATGATTACAGTGGGATATTTGGACATGATGGTCCATTCGAAGAAGCTCAACAAGCGATTGATTGGGCAAAACAGGTTGCAATTGCAGCTGGATTTTTCTTGGTAGTAGTAACTCATAAATCTCAACAGGATGGTAGAATGGATCGCATTTTGAGATGTGACCGTTATCGCAAAAGAGAAGAAAGAGATTTTCGTACAGCCACTCGGTTTAATACAAAGCGGAAAGGTTGTGGGTGTGAGTTCAGAGTAAAGGTCCGACAACTACGGATTCGTGACGGTTGGGAAGTGATTGGTTACTCTAAATGGGGGTATCACAACCATGAGATGATAGTATATGAAGAGGGTCATCGACAGCTGAGCGGCTTAAGTCCTGCTGCGAAACTAGTTGTGAAAGAAATGAGTGATGCTCAAGTCAAGCCTGCTAAAATATTAGCATCTGTGTTAGAAAAATTTCCAGAAGACCATCCAAACCGAAGACACATCTACAACGTCAGACAGCAACTCAGGTTTGAACGGTCAGAGGGAAGGAACCCTATACAGCAGCTGCTACACCAGGCACAATCACGTGGTTACCTGTTCTGGTTTGATTCTGATGAAGATACAGCGGAGGTGACTCATCTTTTCCTTGTGCATCCTGATTGTGCTGATATGATCAAGTCTTGGCCATTTGTGATTTTGATCGACTCAACGTACAAGACAAACAAGTACAAGTTCCCACTGGTTGAGATCATGGGGATGACTCCAACGAACCAGAACTTTCTGATTGGTCATCCAATCATCAAGGATGAGACGGCTCCAAGTTATTATTGAGTCTTGGAGAAGCTGAGAAACTACATCGGGCCTAATGTTCATCCAGCAGCCATCGTCAGCGACTGTGCAGGAGGTCTATTTGCCCCTATAGCAGAGCTGTTTCCAGAACCGAAGCACTTATTGTGCACATGGAACATCAACAACTGCGTGAAAGTGAAAGCCTACAACCTTTTCAACAAGAATTTGGAAATGGCAGAGAGATTGGTGAATGGTAAGTGGCGGAAGATCCTACAGGCTACCACAGAGGAAGCGTACGAGCGAGAATTAGCTAACTTCAGGGATTCGTACCAGTGGTGTCCGGCACTGGTGGACTATGTGATGCAGCAATGGGTCCCTCACAGGGAAAAGTTTGTCAAATATTGGACAAACCAGGTACTTCATTTCGGGAACACTATAACATGTAGAGTTGAGAGCGCTCATAGAGCTACCAAGGACTGGATTGATTCATCGACCGCTGCTTTGGATACACTGTTCGATAGACTTAACAAGTCAATTGAAACTCAGAAGAACGACATTAGGAACTCTCTAGAGGACTCCAGACGACGACATGGTACGATGTATAGCCATTTCATATTTAAGATTCTCCATGGTCGTGTGTCGCACTACTGCTTGGGGTTGATTCTCACTGAGCTGAACAGGATGAGGGACTTGGCTGACGAAGTGTATGCTCGGTGCGGGTGTGCTATTTCAGTAACTCATGGATTACCTTGCGCATGCACCATTCACCGCGTTATTACAGAAGAAAGGGCGTCGTTACATGTTGATCAGGTTCATTCATTCTGGCGGACGCTCGTTATTGGTGAGCATGCAGATACTCAAACGGCCGACCGTGAACAGGAGGAGTTGGAGCAGTTTCGTTCGATGTACGACCGAGTGTCCTCCAGCCATCCTTCTATTATTCGTGACGCTACTCATGTACTTCATGACATGTTCCACACGTCTACCTTAGATTTTGAGGAATCCGAAGGAGTTGACCGTCCTCGAGGTCGGCAACGGCGGAACAGGAGTGCGTTTGAGTATATCTGTGGTCTTGGTCGTGGTCGTGCTCGTGGTCGGACATCGTCATAGGACACAAAATAAAAATTTCAAATTATTTCAACTCGAGGTCGCCTCGGTGTACAGTGCAGCCCTGTCCACCGCCAACAACTCTGCCAGCAAATCTGCCTGATCCGCATCAGCCACAGCACAAAGTCGTTTACCCTCAACACGAATCCCCAGAATGGCCTCGACGTCATGTAACATGATCGTCATCTCACCGAACTGAAGGTGGAAAGAGTTTGTATCCGGCTGCCATCGCTCAACGAAAGCCGTGATCAGCGTACTGTCAATCTTATCGTGCATGGTGGCAGGAACGTGATTCACCCCAGTGCCCTCCAGTCGCTCGAACATCTCGCTCTCCGTCGGCCAAGCCTCAGCCCATGTACGCAAAAAGCTACAAGTCTTTTCCCGGGTATGACATTTCAACAACCCCGTAACTGAAGGCCTCTCCTGGTCCTCCCAAATACGGGCAGCTATGTGTCCTAGAAAGCTAGGAATCACACTCCCGTCAACAGGCCCACCGGGCACCTCACTCCTAACAACCCAAGAATCATTAACGGCCCTCGACCGTTTCCTGCTTGCCCCAGATACAGTGGACGCAGATGATGTGCCAGATCTACTAACAAACCTACCACCCCTACCCTTACGCACCTCCACCATATGTGTCTCGTACATGTCATCAACCCTCTGACTGAATGGACCGTAATCATCATACGGTCCACTCCCATCGTCCACATCCTCATCCTCATATGCGCCCTCCTCCTGCTCCTCCTCCTGGTCACCCTCCTCAGCATCATCATCGTCATCGTCATCCTCATCCCGACGGTGGATCCGTTCTTTACGAGCCGAGGCCGAAATACCACGGGATCTAACATGTCTATGCCCCGACCTCTCCACTGAATAGCTTCTACTAAGAATCTCTACATTCTTCCCCGCACCATGACGACCCAGTGAATTCTACAAAAAATTTAAAAATATATAAACATACAAAAGTTTTTTAGAAAAATAAATAACTACCTACAGATACAAAATACCAACACTTCCAACATATCGTCATGTTTATAAACATAAAATTAATAAAGATTATAAAAAATCAAAGACATAATAACTAAATAGGACACAAAACAAAAATTTCAAATTATTTCAACTAATTAAACATAGAAAAATATTATACGGCATACACAAATACACACATAATACCCTAATATATTACAAAATTTATATTTTCCAAAAAAAATAAAAATTATTTCAAATAATTAAACATAAAAAATAAAAAACAAATATATTACACATACACAAATACACACATAATACCCTAATGTATTACACATTTTAAATAAAAAAACAATTACACATTAACACAAACAATTTCCACATACTACATCAATTAAGGCATAAAAAATGTTTAAACATCAAACATAAAAAAAATAAAACATAAACACAAAAAAAAAAAATCTGATTTTATAAAAATAAAATATACACGATTTATAAAAAAAAACACATAAAGTTGATAAATATTTTTTAAAAAATAAAACACATTAACAAAAAAAATTAGACATAAAACAAAATTATTTTAAATAAAACTAAATTTCTGATTTTGCAAAATAAAAAAAAAAAAACAAAAAAAACAAAAACAAAAAAAAAACAAAAAAAAAAACAAAACCGAAAAAAACAAAAACAAAAAAAGAAAAAAAAAGGGGCGGGCGCCTGGCCAGGACGCCCACCCACTGGCGGTGGCGCCTGGCCAGGACGCCCACCCACTGGCGGTGGCGCCAGCTCCGGCAGCTGTAGCCAGTGGGCAGGCGCCTGAAGTGGACGCCCACCCATTGGCACAAGCGCCAGATCTGGGCGCCACAGCCAATGGGCTGGCTTCTGGTTTGGACGCCTGCGCCGGTGGCTGGGCTTCCTAGCCAGACGCCACCCCACCGGCTTTGGTGGCCGGAACTGACGCCCCACCACGCGCCACCGTCTTATTTTTTTTTTTTTAAAAAAAATAATTAAATAATTACCTTGCCACCAGGTCGCCGCCTTTCCTCCGCCGTCGCCGCCGCCACCTCCTTCCCTTGCCGCCTCGACGTTGTCGTAATTAATTTTTTTAAGAGAGGTAGATTTTCTGATTTTTTTTAGAGAGAAGTAGAGAGTGTTTTTTTTTTTAAAAGGAAAAGGGCAATAAAGTCACACCAAGTCATATTTGTGGGCTTTATATGGTAATTTGCGGGCGATGTTTAACAAATCCCTTGGCAATTGGGACCTCTGTCTTTCCATCTTGTGGATGTTAACTCTATTCAACCTCTTTCTTTGCTTAAGGTCGACTCCGGGTTAATTCTCATCTTGATGGAGGTCTATAGATTCTTGATAAATCTTTGAAATTCCCTAGTATTTGATATGCATTGTTGACTTTAGGTTATTTCCAATATTCATCTTAATACTCATTTTTGAGAAAGAAATTTAACCCATTTGGTAGGAGGTAATAATAGCAATAATAGCTTATAAGTATGATTTTGAGTGTGATTTTTTATAAATATCATCACAATTATGGAAATGTAATCTTATTTTCAAACTTGTGATTTCTTGATAAATGTTCATAGTCACCAATATAAAAACCTAAAGTAGTGATGGATGATTATAAAAATTAATTGAGAAAAAAAAAAGGAGGATTAGCAAGTACGAGTATTACCAAGGGTATAAAGTGTATACATAATACAAAGTACATTCCATACAATTTTACATATTTCCCATAAATTTATTCTCATTATTCACTCCTCAAGTGCATGAGATTTAAGAGGAGAATAGTAATTAATCGCTTTTGAAATGATAATTTGAATTAGAAATGTATTTCAACGCAAATGTTGACTTTAACCGAGTTGAGAATGTCATGCATTAATGCATTATCTTACTTAACATATGTGGGCAAATATATAGCTTTATAATCTTGGAGAGTTGAGAAAGTCATGCATTAATGCATTACCTTAACTTAAACAACACACCCTTTATTATTCCTTGAGAGGCTGCCCAACCAAAAGATGTGCAAATGTTGAAGCTTGGGAGCTGCTCCTATGGCGTCCGAAGCCTCTGCTTCTTCCTGCGCCATCCATTGTTTTACTCAACATCAACTTCTCTTCCTAATCATGGTAAACCTTCTTCTTCTTCTTCTTCTTCTTCATTCTCTACCTCATTAGCGAATTTCTTAGTTGATAATCTGGGTTTCTCCAATCAACAATCTCTCTCCATTTCCGCTAAGCTCACTAAATCATGGAAAGCGGGAGAGACGAGCAAGGCTATTGATTTCAATTTCTTTGAAAAAGTTAATTCTGTTGTTCAATTCTTCAAACAAATTGGGTTTCAGCAATCTCATATTCAGAAAATCATTAGTCGTGAACCCCGGGTTTTAGTTTGTAGGGTTCATAAAACCCTAAAACCTAAAATTCAGCTTTTTAATGATCTGGGTATGTCTGAGTCTGATGTAATTCAAACTATTGTTAGAAATCCTATGATATTGCGCCAACGTTGGGGTCCTGCAATTCATGCTCTTAAGAATGTTTTGGGTAGTGATGAGAATGTTGTTACAATTCTCAAGAAATCAACTCGGAACCTTAACTGCACTGCTAGTTATTTGATTCCCAATGTTGAACTATTGCAAAAGTATTGTGGCATTTCTAGTGATAAAATCCAGAAACACATTCTTCGGCAGCCTAATTCTTTTATAGTGAAAACTGATTTACTTCGAGATACCTTAATTAAGGTGGAACTGCAGTTAGGGATTCCTCGAGACTCTTCAATGTTCTTGTATGGTGTCCATATTTGGCTTTTCTGTGGTGAGAAGAATATCAAGGATAAATGTAAAGTATTTATGAGTTTTGGATGGACTCAATCTGATGTTATGAAATTGATCAGGGGAAATCCTATGTGTTTCACTAGTTCAGAGGCGAGTATCAAGGAAAGACTTGGCTATCTGATGAACCAACTGGGTTACAAGCCTGATTATTTAGCAATGCGGGCTAATTTCTTCACGTGTAGCATGAAGAAGAGATTATTGCCAAGGCATCAAGTCTTACAGATTTTGAAGGAGAAAGGACTTTTAAGGATGGATTATGTTTTTTCTTCTGCTGTTTCCTTGTCTGAGTCTGTGTTCTTGAGAAGGTTTGTTCTGCCATTTGAGGAAGTCCATGAAGTTTATGCTCAACTGACAGGTTCTACTGTGGAGTCGCTCAATGTAAGAAGATGCAAAAGCCAATCTTAAAGGTGTCATCAAATTCTAATGCTGCTTGATGTTAGTCAGTGCATAAGGTATCAGGCAATGTTAACTTCGTTATTAATATTCGTGCAATATCATTTCCTTGTCCTGAGTGGCCTTCATACCTGTTGAAAATGAACCAGGAAAGGTTGTAAACCACTGTAATTGCGAAGGTTTGCAATGCCATATTTTAGTTGCTTTGCAATGAGTAGAAGTTAAATTTAATCTCCATATTTAAATAATTACCTTCTTTCGTTTTAAGTTGACTGTTTCTTCTTTCATGTTTGCCAATGTACAATTTCAATGATTAATATCTCTAATTATCAACTAATATAATTTTTTAAAAGTTGATATTATAAAGACAAACATTGAGACGGTTATAACAGGACCCCTCATAACTATAAATCACAAACTTAGTTTAAGAAGAGTTTGTAAATGGTGTTAAAATTCAACATGTGTCAACTATAAAAGAACAAAGAAAGTATTTAAATGGCTTTCTTAGAGATTTTTGTTCTTAAAGGTTTGGACTTTGGACTTAAGAAATTCTTTGTATTTGGTTTTTCCCATATGCATCCCCTTTATGCAAAACCTTTGAGATCATTACCTATGTAAATAGGTTCTATATTTTAACAGTAAATGATTACTATGGTCTGTGGACTGTGATGGAGTGATGGACATTTCTTGGTGGAAGTTGGTGTCGATTTATAATTAAGACGAGGTACGTATCTCTCATTCACTGCTCTCTTTTCCCTCCTACCAGTATTATAAATTATAGCGAAAAACTTTGCACTAGTTGCAGTACTGTGATGTTACAAGAAAGAGTAGTTTTCTTCTTTATGCTTTTGGGATATTAAAATGCAATTCAATTTTTGAAAGTCAGGTTAGCAAATTTTGAAACTGCTGACAATGGCAATAATCTTGCAAAACCTAGACCACTTCTGTTCTTTTTTCTAGTGACAACACCTTTGGCTTCATGCTAGTATTGAAATTCTGTGAGCAGAATTAATTTAGTATTTTTGACAATTGGATAACATTGAAGGCTGCAGTACGGTGTCTTCTTCTGCATAATGATTTTGTGACCGATTCTGTTTTACTTCCTATCTATGTCTTAGAGTTTCTGGTAGCACCGTAGCAGCACCTCAATCATTATAAGTAGGCTTTTGAAGACTTAAAAACAATGTTGGTACCATATAGATGCTGTATAGTTCTATTGATTGCAGAGTTTATCTTGGGATTGGTATTAGTCCCAAGTAACTATTGTGTAAATAGATTCTACTTATGATTGTGAAGGAGGTATGCCTTATGATTACGACTATGGCTTGCTGTCAAATTGGTGGAATATGCTGCCTTTATGGCTATCCCAGCCGATAAAGATGACGAAATCAGTTCATTGACAGGTTGATAAGATGGATCACAACTCTGTTTCTCCTGTTTTTGCTGATTTGAAATTTGTTGTGGTAATATGAATTTAGATGTTTATTTGCATAAATTTTCTGAGAACACAGGATAAGATAATTTAGCTAAAGTTGAGGTGGAAGATATTGATAAGGAAGTAAACTCTACTGTTATTTGCTACTTCCTTGAGGCTAATCCTCTAAATGTGTTTGAAAAATTACTTTTAAATGCATATGGGTAGATGGGGAGTTGCAATCATTTACTTGTTTCTTGTTGGCATAATCATTTACTTGGTTGCAAAAGGACAAGGGTTCAAGGATTGGTAGGTCAAGAAAGGAAATTGACCAAAGATGGGGAGTTGCAATCTTGGCAACTTTCTTCTTTCAAGAGAGAATTAATATTTTTTATGAATTAAATCTTCAATATATGTCTCCATTTGGTTGTTGGGAATTGTATGTTATTGATGAAGAAAATAGTTAAAAAGGCTGGTTTTTTAGATGATAAAAATGATTTTAGTTGTTCAATTAATCTGTGTGGCATTGAGTTTTATGCTAGTCTTGCTTCTGTTTATCAATTGGCTGAAATGCATGCTTAAGCTTAATTATGCTTCTAATCAAGAAGCTCCTTGCTAAGGCTGCTATTTGAGAAAATTAAGGTATCAATTTTGTTAGTTTTGATATTAGCCATTTAGGAGAGTAAATTATTTGAAATGATGTTATGTTGGTGTGGAAAAGAGAAGAGATTCATTTAAATCTATTTAGAAGTTAATTATGCCGAAATAATTGCTAGGGTCACAAATGTTGATAGAATTATTTTTTAATTGGTGTGATGTTTTAAACATTTTTATTTAATTTATTTATTATTTTAGATTTTTATTTAACCTGAAGCTTTCCATTTTCCCCTAGTATTTTTTGTTGCTTAGCTTAATTTTGTGAAATTGATGAATTTGGGGCTTCTCTATTGTATTATATTGTTGTTTAGCCTGAAGCTTTCTGTTTTCCCTACGATTCCTCTAATAATTAACCTGAAGCTTTCTGTTTTTCCCATAAGATTTATGTAGGAGATTGAAGTAGGAATGTGGCAAAGAAAGTATCTGTTTGGGAACGCAACACATTCTGGAAAAGAGGGAAGGTGTGATCAATGTGCTCGATAGGATCAGTATACGTGTTTGTGTTGTCTAAAGGTGTGCTCAATGTGCTTGATATGTTCCTTTCTGCTGTCTAGAGTACGTGTTTATTTGCTTTCCTTTCAGCTAAAACTTTCAGATGAATGACATGATTTAAGTTAAATTCTCTCTTAATGCTGGCAGTACCAATTGGGTTGCATCATCAAGATATGAAAGTGTATTACAAAGATGAGGAAAGAGATTCAAAGGATTTTATTGGAAATTTTTAGTGTGAAAGATAAATTGAAAATCGTACTGGTGGAGGATTCGCTGAAGACAGGAAAAAAAGTACGTTGAAATGAGGTAGAATTCCAAGATGGAGAAAGCAGCAAAGTCTATTTCAAAGATCAGTTTGCATGCAGACGGAGTTGGTGTTCAAATAATTATATTAATTTTTGTGTTTGATTTCTTGAAATCATTTAAAGTTGAGAGATTAGGAAGTATGATTGTCTGACAAATTAGCTGAATTTTGGGAGTTATTATGTTTGAATCAGAAGTGTTATAGAGGATGTTTGTATGACCTCTAAACTGAGGTAATTGGTGATATATATCTATATGTTTTTAATTTGAAGTTGTAATTGACTGGTATCAGCTCTTGAATCAGTAATCTTGAAATGGGAAAGAGTAGCAGAGAGTCAGAGAATGATGTTGTAAATTAATTGGTGTGTTTAATTACTTGAAATCATTAAAAGTTGAGAGATTAGGAAATATAATTGTCCGACAATTAGCTGAATTTTGGGAGTTATCTTGTTTGAATCAGAAAGTGTTATGGAGGATGTTTGTATGACCTCTAAATCGAGGGAATTGGTGAATTATGTTTCAATTTGTTACTGTAATTGACTGGTATCAGCTCTTGAATTAGTAATCTTGAGGCGTTGTAAATGTATTATTGAATCGCCTCCTAAATTCTTCCAAATTGGTGGAGTAAGTTCCAAGAACAAAGTGCATTGGAAGTAAGTAAGTTCATGGATTTTTAACTAGAGATAGCTCATTTAGTGGGTTTGCATGTGAATTAGTGGGATTTACTCTTAGGTCATACTTAAAAGATCAGCAAAGAATCAATTTTTTTTGTACAAAGTATCGTGCTCCATTACGAATAGATATTGATCTTGTAAGTATGATTTTAGATTGTATTTTTAGCTTTCTAACTTTAATATTTTCTTAGAAAAGTTTTAGTGTTGTAAATTATTGTACTATAAATTTTAATATTTTATAGTTTCAATTACTAATTTTAGGTCCTGTTCAGTTCACCATAAAAAAAAAAAAAATTTCAGTTCATTTCAGTAAATATAAATTCAGTTCATTAAAAAATAATTTTAGTTCCGTAAAAATCAGTAACTCTAAAAAAAATTAAAATAGAGAAAGACTAAAATTAATTTTATTTCAATAAATTTATTTCAATTAAGTAAAAATAATTTAACTTCTGTAAAAATAATTCCAATTCAGTAAAAATAATTTCAATATTTTTACCTTTAATGCTTGGATTGCAATATATGTAGTACTTTATCACTCGTACTTTTTATAGTCTGTATTTTAACTATTTTCTTGTGATATGGGAGTTAATTTTGTTGCATGTCTTTTTTTTTGCTTAAGATTGACTAGCATGGTTGAAATCTGTATAGCCATAACATTCTTAATAGATCATCAAAGGTCCTCAACTCCTCGTCTTTGATATGCATTGTTGTTTTTGGATACCCAATCTAATACTACCTCCGTTTTTTTTATGAGCAACTTTGGCACATAAAACGATTCACGAGGCAAAAGATTGAAGGGCAAAGATTAAGAAAGTATAATGGTGATTAATATATTATAGGAGTATGTAATTAACGTGGAGAGAGAATGTTTGGATAATTAATCAAACCACCCACTACCACCACCAAGACCAGCCACCACCGTCGCCGGCTTCACCACCACCACTACCACCCCCACAAAACCACCACCACAGCCAACCCCACGAAACCACCACCACCCTCACGTCTTTCCCTCTTTTTTCAGTTCCCTCCCTACCCAAAAAACCCAGATCTAACCCAGACCACCTAGACCCAACCACCCACGCCACCAAGACCCTACCCTACCCAGACCACCCCACCACCCACGCCACCAAGACCCAACCCTAACCCAGACCACCCCACCACCCAAACCCACCCCCAAACCACCCCACCACCCAAACCCACCTCTAACCCAGACCACCCCACCACCCAAACCCACCTCTCGAAAATCAAAAACCAGAAAATCAAAATCCAAACCCAGAAAATCAAAATCAAAACTCAGGAAATCGAAATCAAAACCCAGAAATTTACAAGCCCTAATTTGAATTTATTGGTATTCAATAAAAAATTGGGGGTAAAATTTGGGTGCATTTGGCAGTAAAATCAAATTCACAGCAGTCAAAAGTACCCTATTTTTCATTGAACCTCGAGATCACATCATACCATCAAACCTCAAGCTCATCAAAACCCACAACAATGGCGGAACCTTCCTCCGCCGATCTAACCCACCACCTGCCTCTGCAACTAACCAAATCAGAAACAATTCCACCATCTCCAATAAAAAACCAGAAAATCAAAATCCAAACCTAGAAAATCAAAATCAAAACCCAGAAATTTGAAACTCAGAAAATCGAAAAAAAACCCAGAAATTTCGAATATAAATCACCCAAAAAAAAACGAAAAAAAAGATGAAGAAAGAAAGCCGATGGTCATAGGGAGCAGAAAGCCGTGGTCATAGGGAGCAAAACGCCGGACTCTTGTGAAGGAGGAGAGAGAATGGTGGTGGTAGGGGCGGTGGTTGTGAGTCTTGAGGGAGGAGGGTGATGAAGAGGGTGAAGGTGAAAGAGATGAAAAGATGAAAAGGGTGAAGCAGAGATGAAAAGGGTGAATGGGTGGTGGGTAGATGAGTAAATGGGTGAGTAAAATTAGGTTAATGATTTTAAATTAGACAAAAAAGTTATTGTGATTAAAATAAGATAAGGGTAACATTAAGAAAATCTGAATTTTTAAGTAAGGGTAAATTTGTAATTTTCAGGGTTTTTGTTTACTAAAAATAGAAAGAAAATAGAAAGTTGCACATAATAGTGAGCGGACTAAAATGACAAAAGTTGCACATAAAAAAAACGGAGGTAATAGTCAATTCATCAAAACTTTGTGTGTGCTTATACCAGGCTTTTGCCTTAAAGAGACTCCCTAGTATTAAGGACGTTTTTCCAAAGTGAGCCAATTTTGGCAAATATTAACCAAAATGGTTGTGTGGCAAAAGTATTTACCAAACTAAGCTTCCAGGCTAAAACGCTGTCTCGGTCAGCGTTTTATGCCTGGGTTTTTTTTTAAAAAAAAAAATCAACCTAAAAACGCTGTCTGGGACAGCGTCTTTGTTGTTGACCTTTTTTTTTTTTTTTTTTTGTAATTGCCTTTTATTTATAAAAATGTTTTTAAAAAACAAAAACAGTTATACCAAAGACGCTGTCCCAGACAGCGTTTAACTCTGGAACTATAAACGCTGTCTCAGACAGCGTTTAAGGTTATTAATGAAACGCTGTCTGAGACAGCGTTTCTGTCGTTTTTTTTTTCCCTCCAACAGCGTATTTCATCCTTTCATTTCCTCCTCCTTCATTCTCAAACCCCTTCTTTCCCAAACTCTAACTTAATCCCCCCCTCTCTCATACTTGTGCTCCTCCGTATAGACCGCCGTCGGCGCCGCCACCTCCACCGTCGCCCTCCGTGTAGCCCACTATACACTTCCCTCACCCTTAAATAGGTATTCATTCAACTTTCTTTGTGTTTTAAATTCTAGGGTTTATGTTGGTGATTTCTAATTTTTTTGGAATTGGGTTAAAATGTTGATGAGGTTGAGTTGTTAGTGTTAAAAATGTTGAATTGTTAGTGTTGGTATTGTTGAATTATTAGTGTTGGTAATTGTTGAATTGTTAGTGTTGATAATGGTAGTGTTGATATTGTTAGTGTTGATAATAGTTTGGATAATGTTGAATTGTTGTTGTTGGTTTTGTTGAAAATTGTTGACAATGGTTGATAATTATTAGGTTTTGAACAATTGTAATTACCTACATTGTTGTGTAATAATGGTGATTTAGGGGTTCTTAGTAGTTAATTTGTATAGTATGTAAAATTTTTTTGTTTGATTGTGGTGATTTAGGGATGATTTAACGGCTTTACGTAAAATGTGTTTTGGTTGTTATGTAGAATATGGCTGGACAAAATGTAGCGTTGTTATGTCGATGGGGAGGTGAAATTTTGTGTAATGGATCAAATGTGGAGTACAGTGGAGGGAATATGGACCTTATAACACTTGAACCGAACATGGCTGTGACTGATCTGATAAATGAGGTTCACAATTGTATTGGTTCAAACCCTATGATTGTTGAACTGAACCTTAAAATGAGGTGTGATACTGGTCATGGGGTGCAAGTGTTACCTGTCTCTACGAACAAACATTTGAAAGGTTTGAGAAGCATGGTAGGAATGAAGGGTTTTCCCAATGAGATATATGTAGAAACAATGCCTATATGTACCCAACAAAGTACTCGGGCAGAACAGCAAGCTACATATGTCTCTGATTACAACACCGCGTCCTTCCAAGAGCCCGCAAACCACATTCCATCGAATGCATATGGGATGGGTTCTTTCACTCGAATGATGCAGGACGACCAATTTCACTTGCCTTTTAGTTCTCATATAGCTTCACCAGTACATGCGGGGGGACGCGTGACAGTGTTCGGCCAGCCTACTCCGTCGTCATCGAACACCGTGGCATCTTCGCCGATGCAACTGCATAGCTACTCTCCTATGCAAGGTGATGATGGTTCACCGTTTCGAGAAGAGCCAAATCATTTTGATGATGTTGTGAATAATGAATTGTCGGTGTATGATGTGTATGCGGAAATGGATGATGAGGACGAGAACGGAGAGGGGGATGATGAACCTACACAGGTGGAAGATGGTCAGCCGTTGGTTATAACTCCCATACCTTGGTTCAGTGAGGTACCCGAGAACTATGAAGTTGATCAGTATTGGGCCGAATCGGGTAGCCACACCTCTTTTGTTCCCGGGGGAGAATTTGAGAAGGGAATGTATTTTGAGAGCAAGAAACTGCTTCAAGAAATGGTGAAGATGTATTCTATTCAGAGGAATCAATTCTACACCACAGTGACCTCGAATGATGGTGTCCTACATCTGCGATGCAAGAAGAAATGTGGTTGATGCTACGGGGTACCAAATCGAGTGAGCACTCACGTGGTTTTACCATAGTCACGTACAAAGGCCCACATCGGGAGACATGTGTCAGTGAAGTACTATCTAATGATCACCCACACTTGGATTCGTCCGTAATAGCCGAGTATGTGAAGTCCTTTGTGCGGAAAGATCCTTCGTTGAAAGTGGAATTCATACAGGAACTGATCTCGAAGCAATTTCATTTCGATGTCCCGTATCGACGAGCGTGGTATGCCAAGGAGAAAGCTATAGCTGAGATATTTGGGGATTGGGAGAGTTCATATGGCAGACTTCCCCACTTCATGCAAGCACTCCTACGGTCGAACCCGGGAACATGTGTCGTATGGAAACACAAAGCTTTAGTGGATGGTGTATACTACAGCAACATGGAAGTGTTTGAACGAGTGTTTTGGGCCTTCGGTCCTTGTATCGATGGCTTTAAACATTGTATGCCTGTTATCTGTATCGATGGGACGCACTTGTACGGGAAGTATAAAGGAACACTGTTGGTTGCTACGAGTGTTGATGCAAGCTTCCAAGTATTTCCTATTGCATTTGCGGTGGTTGAAGGGGAAAACACTTCCAGCTGGTCTTGGTTCCTAGGTTGTATTCGAGATCGTGTCACGCAACGGGATGGCCTTTGTGTTATTTATGATCGGCATCCTGGGATCATTGCAGAAATGAATGATCCTAATGTTGGATTCACCCAGCCCCGAGCGTATCACAGGTTTTGTGTCCGCCACATAGCCTCTAACTTGAAGACTCACGTGCTAAGTAACGACATGAGAGACATGTTCAAGGCCGCTGCGTACCAAAGGCAAGAAAGAAAACTTCAAGCTGATCTGTGTTTCATTGGTGAGGCCTGTCCCAAGGCCATTGAGTACATTGCTCAAGTCTCGTTCCCTATGTGGTCTCTGTTTCACGACAGTGGTCGCAGGTATGGTATATGTACTACTAACTTCTCGGAGACATTCAACAATGTGCTGAAAGGAGCTCGGTTTCTACCGATTATGTCCCTTGTCGAGTTAACCTTCCACAGAGTTAACAAGTATTTCACTTTGAGAAGGGAGTCTTCTGAGGCTAGGTCTGATCAGGGACTTCCATACCCCCCAAAGGTCACTGCCATCCTCGAGAAGAACACCGCTAAAGCCACATATCATAGAGCGGATGCCTATAACCGACGATTGCATATTTACCAAGTGACAATAGAGAGGGGAGAGAGAGTTGGTAATAAAGGAGGCCACAAGCATACGGTGAACTGGCAGTTGAGAACGTGTACGTGCAACAAACCGAAGATATTCCACCTCCCATGTTCTCATGTGCTAGCAGTCTATGCTACATACTCACTATCAGAACAGCCTTGGGTGGACCCTCTGTTGCAGTCGGCCGCCTACATGAACACCTATGCACCACAGTTCTGGCCGATCCCCTGCGAGACAACCTGGGCACAGTGGGCACAGTACGTAGGCCCTAAACTCATTCCGGACGGCACAATGATACGTGGAAAAGGTCGTCCAAAGTCGAAGCGCATACGCAATGAGATGGATGAAAGCAACTGGCCCCCAACCAAATGCAGCCGTTGTCACCAGCAAGGTCACAACCGCACTACTTGTCCATCTAGACCAACATAGGACCTAAGTGTATATGTGTTATTTGATATAGTAGTATGTAGTGGTGTTATTTTGATGAAACAGTTATAATTTTCTACATTATGTGTTATTGTGTTCAATTCGATGAATTTTATTTTGTACGTTGGATGTTCGAGATTTCCTGTTTATGCCTTTCAATCGAAATTAGTATTCAATATATTGTGTTAGTGTTTGGTGTGTAACGTTTTCAATGAACAGATATCATGGACGTACAGGATAGGACACCCGGACCTGTTGACCCTTCTGTCCTGACACTATAGGACACCCATCGGAGCGTCGACGTATGGAACCTGACGGTAATGATTCATCTTTAACGTTTTTGGATTATTTGATGTACTATCTTTTGTTACTTATAAATGCTCCTGTGTTTTCAGGGTGACGTAGCGAAGCCACTACAGTGCAGGCACTACAGGACCCCCTGGGTTGTCCATGATCGCTGCCTTGAGTACGTGACGTACGCTGGCTTTGGCGGTGTACATCGCTTGGGATTCAGGGAGATCGACCGACACCTTGTCACGGTGTTAGTGGAGAGATGGAGGCAGGAGACGCACTCCTTCCACCTACCAGTTGGGGAGGCGATTGTGACATTGCGGGACGTGGCAATACTGACGCGCCTTCCAGTACAGGGGACTGCGGTGACGGGATTATTTCTAGTCGATCCCGTTGGATTGGTTGTGCGGGTTCTCGGGGTGCAGCCGGGTCCCAACGATGTTAGGGGCTCCGCCTTGAGGACGGTCTGGTTACGAGATACTTTCCAGGGCTTGCCTGCGGACGCCGATGACGCCACAGTACAGAGATACGCTCGAGCGTACTTGTTCTTCCTTATATCCGGCGTGTTGTTCGGCAACAAGAGCTGGAGCCACTTGCAGCATATTTACCTACAGCTGTTAGACCACGACTGGGAGCATATCCGTGGATACAGCTGGGGTAGTGCCTCTTTGGCGGTGTTGTATCACCAACTTTGCAGAGCCTTACGGAGTGGTGCGCTCGAGATTGGAGGACCTCTGTTTGTGCTTCAGGTATACTACGTATATTATCACAAGCGAAATATGCAATGAGTAATGTCATATTTAACATAGTTTTGTGTTTTGCTATTGAAGCTATGGGCTTGGGAGCACATCCTCGTAGGAAGACCAGGTAGGCCTGCTGTACATCGTCCGGGGCAGCAGGACCAGGATGACCAGTATGAGCCGTACATCGCTCTGCCTCGCCCTGCAGCTGATGAGGCTTACGGTTGCAGATTTGTAACAATTGTCATTTTTTTCCCATATACGATTTCATTTTGTAAACATACTTACCAAATTTGTTGCCCCAGGTGGATGGTCCCCAGACTCACACAGGCACATGCAGCGACGGGTCTCCCATACTACCGAGACGCCCTTGATCGACTCACTGAGGATCAGGTACAAACTCTGAAGACATTTGTAATCATTTAGGTACTGTGTATACTGATTGTGGACTAACTTATTTAGGATGTGTTATTGCAGATCACATGGGAGCCGTATGTACCGGAGTTGGTAGATGTCATGCCTGCACATCTACTGGAGCATCAGGGAGAGTGGCGTGCTCGGGTCCCCCTGATCTGTTTCGAGGTTGTGGAGAGTCACCTACCTGACCGCGTCATGCGACAGTTCGGACTGCAGCAACTTATTCCCCAGAACTGTGACACTGTCGTGCGCCTTCACGACATTGACCGTCGGGGAAAGACGGAGACAAACTGGGCACTGGAGCATTGGCAGTATCTTCAGCTATGGGAGCAGCGGTTGGGTCATGTCGTTCAGGGTTATCCCATGCAGGGCGTTATGGATCATGACGATCCGTACATGGTGTAGTACAGGCTTATCACACGCCGTTTCATCAACCCCAGCTACACACCACCGTCCACCCATTACCACCCGACACATGACGTCATTAGCGGATATGTGAGTTTCTTTTACTATACTTATCATCCTCATTTTTTAACTTTTTTAAATATCATGTACTTGACTGATCGATGATTACTACAGGCGGCGGATATGGTGGCGATGTATGATGCACTGTCCCTCGCCCTTACAGACGAACCCACCAGAGCCCAGGTCCAGCGGATGCGAGATATGTCCGCGACTTCCTTACGCAGACATGGTCACGATCATCTCATCCAACAGCGGGACGGTGATGATGGTCACTCCATCCATTCGCGGTTCGACCCCGGCCAGAGTAGCAGTGGAGGTGATCCTACGTCGCACACAGAGGCAGAGGAGTACATCTTCCACAGTTCTGCACCCTTCAGAACCCAGGAGGACGCATCGTCCAGCCAGCTCACCCCCCCCCCCCGCGCCGGAACCCATTCACCACCATTCACCATTACACTCGGCGTCGTCCAAGACGAAGGGACGACAGTGAGGCTAGGGAAGGGTTACACCAAATTGATGAGTAGTGAACGTATTGTATCATTGTTTTGTCCTTTTTCCTGGAATGCTGTATATAACGATTGCATTATCAATATAAGACATGCTGGTTGAATGAATCTGTTTGTGTTTTGAAGTTTTGTTTGCTTATTTATCCAAATCGGATTTATGTCAGTCAAAATAGATCCTTCAGGGCTAATGTACATTAAACAACAGACATTTGGAATCCATAGTCGAAAATGGGGAAGAAAGGATGGCCCGTGGTGGTTAATGTGGTTGTTCATGGTGGTTTTAGTGTTGTTGGTTGTGGTGGGTGGTTATCGACGGTTGTTGAATGGTTGGGGTTGGTGGTGGAGCTGGTTGAAGTGTTGTTGGAGGTCAAAAGTGGTGGCAGATGGTGGTCGATGGTGGGGGTTGTTGGTTGATTGTGGTGGCAAGAATCATGGCAGGGGGTGGTGGGTGGGGGCAGAAGAAAGTGGCAGATCAGTGGCAAAAGGCTGATTCTGCTGCTGTTTTGCACACCAGCAGAGAAACGTTGTCCCAGACAGCGTTTTAGGTTGAAAATAAGACGCTGTCTGAGACAGCGTTTTAGGTACAAGGAAGTTTGTACATAAAGCGCTGTCTGGGACAGCGTCTTTGGTATAACTGTTTTTGTTTTTTAAAACCATTTTTATAAATAAAAGGCAATTACAAAAATTTAAAAAAAAAGGTCAACAACAAAGACGCTGTCCCAGACAGCGTTTTTAGGTTGATTTTTTTTTAAAAAAACCCAGGCATAAAACGCTGACCGAGACATCGTTTTAGCCTGGAAGCTTAGTTTGGTAAATACTTTTGCCACGCAACCATTTTGGTTAATATTTGTCAAAATTGGCTCACTTTGAAAAAACATCCTAGTATTGAAGTGGATGGAAGACAAATGATACAAAAAAAAGTCAAATGATACATATAAACAACACACCCTTTATTCCTTGAGAGGCTGCCCAACCAAACACGTGCAAATGTTGAAGCTTGGGAGCTGCTCCTATGGCGTCCGAAGCCTCTGCTTCTTCCTGCGCCATCCATTGTTTTACTCAACATCAACTTCTCTTACTAATCATGGTAACCCTTCTTCTTCTTCTTCATTCTCTATCTCATTATCGAATTTCTTAGTTGATAATCTGGGTTTCTCCAATCAACAATCTCTCTCCATTTCCGCTAAGCTCACTAAAACACGGAAAGCGGGAGAGACGAACAAGGCTGCTGAATTCAATTTCTTTGAAAATGCTGATTCTGTTATTCAATTCTTTAAACAACTTGGGTTTCAGCAATCTCATATTCAGAAAATCATTATTTGTGAACCCCGGTATTTAGTTTCTAGGGCTCATAAAACCCTAAAACCTAAAATTCAGCTATTTAATGATCTGGGTATGTCTGAGTCTGATGTAATTCAAACTATTCTTAGAAATCCTATAATATTGCGCCAACGTTTGGGTCCTACAATTCATGCTCTTAAGAATGTTTTGGGTAGTGATGAGAATGTTGTTACAATTCTCAAGAAAGTAACTCGGAACCTTCAATGCACTGCTAATTATTTCATTCCCAATGTTGAACTATTGCAAAAGTATTGTGGCATTTCTAGTGACACAATCCAGAAACACATTCTTCGGCGGCCTAATTCTTTTATAGTGAAAACTGATTTACTTCGAGATACCTTAATTAAGGTGGAACTGCAGTTAGGGATTCCTCGAGACTCTTCAATGTTCTTTTATGGTGTCAATTTTCTGCTTTCCTGTGGTGAGAAGAATATCAAGGATAAATGCGAAGTATTTAAGAGTTTTGGATGGACTCAGTCTGATATCATGAAATTGATCAGGCTAAATCCTTTGTGTTTCACTAGTTCAGAGGCGAGGATCAAGGAAAGACTAGGCTATCTGATGAACCAAATGGGTTACAAGCCCAATTATTTAGCAACGCAGCCTATACTATTCATGTGTAGCAAAGAGAAGAGATTATTGCCAAGACATCGAGTCTTACAGATTTTGCAGGAGAAAGGTCTTATAAGGATGGATTATCTTCTTTCTTCTGCTGTTTCCTACTCTGAGTCTGTGTTCTTAAAAAGGTTTGTTCTGCCATTTGAGGAAGTCCATGAAGTTTATGCCCAACTGATAGGTTCTACATTGGACTCGCTCAATGTAGGTAGATCCAAAAGCCAATCTTAAAGGTGTCACCAAATTCGAATGCTGCTTGATGTTAGTCAGTGCATAAGGTATCAGGCAATGTGAATTTTGTTATGTTCATCAAAACAACTTTCAATATTCTCGCAAAATCATTTCCTTGTTTGAAGTAAATGTAATACCTTTTGGAAACGAACTAGGAAAGTTTGTAGGCCATTGTGATTGGGAAGGTTTGATTGCAATGCCGTTACTTTGTTGCTTTGCAACGAGTAGAAGTAAAGTTTCAAGTTTTAAAAAAAAAACAGGGTTTGATTCAGAAATTATTTTTTGAAGGTTTGGACTACAGAACTCTTTGTATTTGGTATTCCCATATGTATCCCTATAAGCAAATTCTTTGATATCATGATATGTGGACTGTGATGGGTATTTCAATATTCCCATATGTATTTCTTGGTGGATGTTAGTGTCGATTTATTATTAATACGAGTTACATATTTGATATTTCTTATTTTCCGTTCTCTTTTCCCTACTAGTATATACCTTTTATCGAAAAACTTTTCTCTAGTTGCAGTGCTATGATGTTACAAGAAAGAGTAACATAGCTTTCTTCTAGATACTTTTGTGTGATTTGAATCCAATTCAAATTTTGTGTATCAGCTTAGCAAATCTCGAAACCGCAGACAATGGCATTTATCAACTTGTGAATCCTATACTGCTTTTGTTCTCTTTCTAGTGGCAGCACCTTTGACTCCTGTCAATATTGAAACTCTGTGAAGTAGCTGAATTAATTAGTTTTAAGAAATGGAAACATGGCATGCTGCACTGCAGTATGGTGTCTTCTTGTACATAATGATGTTGTTACCAACTCTGTTTTATTTGCTATTTATATATTGGAGTTTCTGGTAGCAGTAGCTTAGTCTTTACATGTAGGCTTTTAAAGACTTTTAGCCTCTGTTTGTTTTGATGGGGAACATTTTAAAAAAAAAACAATTTTCAACGGAAAATATGATTGTGAAAAAAGTTTTCCTAAAACATACAAGGAGAGTAAATGGGATGGGAGGAATGGAGGAGAGAAAAATAGTGAAGTATGGAGTAAAAAAAAATGTAGCATACCTTCTTTATAGAAGAAAAATGGTTTCCACCAAAACAAACGGAACCTTAATGAACGATTGTACCACATATACACACATATATATATATATATATATATATATATATATATATATATATATATATATATATATAGGTCCTATTGGTTGCATCGTTCGTCTCGTGATTTGTGACTAGTATTAGTCCTCCCTAATATCTTGTAGGGAAGTCAATGGGGCACATAGGTCATGTGTGTGTGTGTGTGAAAAAGGGGGGTGGGGATACATAACTTCCACCCTATCCCATTCTATAACATTCTACTTCGTATATAAATTGGTTTGATTTAAATGAATTTATATATGAAGTACTCTATAGTTTAATTATGGAACTTTGTGTTACTGATGTTAGTTTTGGAATCTGTATTGTAAGATTGTCTATGATAGATTGATTGCAAATAAATAAAAATTATTGGAATAATTTTGTTTTATATCTTCATTTCTGTGAGATTATGGACTGGTGAATCTATATTAATTTTCAATATATGTGCAAATTATGATAATAGGTAAATCTATGTAAATTCTGGAATGTATGGCAAAACTTTAATTGCTTTTTTAGGGGGGGGGGGGGGGGAGGGGGAGGTTGGGAGTTAAGTTTGTTGCAAGTCTTGATTCTTGATCATGTCAGTGATGTATTGTTAGGGGTTAGAAATTTAAAATTGTTTTCTTAGATGTATGCTTCTGTACTCTGTAGTACTATTGTTAAGCAAAACATTGATGTCAAATCAGCAATCCGCATGTTTTCTGCTTAATGACTATCATAGTAATCATACCAACGTCAGCTCAAGACTTTTACGGTTCCTATCTGCAGAATTTCTATCATAAGCTTGGGAGCAAAGGTGTGCTTAATTGTGGACTTGATTTAATTGGCTAAGCGCACCAACTTGAGTATCTTTTTACAAAGGTGTCCCGCCTGTTTGGCTCACTTTTTAATATGGGATTTGGTGCTGCAGCTGTTCTGATTTTCATCACAGCCACAAAGACTCATAATCTTGAATGTGTGATATTGTCTTTTTCTGAGCCGAAGCAACTCCTGCATCTAAAGTTGATACAGACGCACAGTTGAAGTGGGTGACTTGAAAAGCCTTTTTGTTTCGAGCCAGAGGTGTGTTTGATGGCCAATTCACATGTTATGATAACACTAATTTTAACTTGAGTATTTAAGAGTTTTGGATGGACTCAGTCTGACATCATTAAATTGATGAGGCTAAATCCTTTGTGTTTCACTAGTTCAGAGGCGAGGATCAAGGAAAGACTAGGCTATTTGATGAACCAAATGGGTTACAAGCCCAATTATTTAGCAATGCAGACTTAATTATTCATATGTAGCATGGAGAAGAGATTATTGCCAAGACATCGAGTCTTACAGATTTTGAAGGAGAAAGGGCTATAAGGAAGGATTATCTTCTTTCTTCTGCTATTTCCTTGTCCGAATCTGTGTTCTTGAAAAGGTTTGTTCTGCCATTTGAGGAAGTCCATGAAGTTTATGCTCAACTGACAGGTTCTACTGTGGAGTCGCTCAATGTAGGAAGATGCAAAAGCCAATCTTAAAGGTGTTGTTACATTCTAATGCTGCTTGATATTAGTCCAGTGCATAAGGTATCAGGCAATGTCAATATTGTTATTTTCATCAAAACGATTTTCAAATTTATTAAGGTAGCCTAGAGAGAGTTATGGCCTCAAGCCATTGTTAGAGAGTTGTGAGCTAAACTCACTGTTTGAGAGTAATAGCCTCAAGCTATTAACCCCATCATTTGTAATTATTCCACCATTATCAATCAACAGTAAAGCTTTAATCTTTATTAATTCTTCATATTTACTCAACTTGCAAAAAAAGTCAGATTATATAGCTCACACAAGTGAATCAATCTTTTCATCTCTATATTCCTGTTGTTTGCATCAGTTAAGTTAGCAATAATCTCAGTTCATTACAGTTGGTATGAAATTCTCGCTGCAGCTCGCTTTCAGTTTTGGCCCACTCAAGAGTTGGATTAGGATTACTGTTGCTGAGGCTATTAATATGATTTGATTTTCTGTAATTCTCATCTAATCGATATAATCATCATCTTCTTATTAATTTTCTGCCATTGTTAGAGCTGTCAGCTTTGTTGGTTCCTAGCATTATTTGTCTGAGTTAAGTTAGCAATAAGCTCAATTCATTACAGAATCTTACACTTCACATTGCGGCTCTTTGTGTGAAAGTGTTAGTCTTGTTGATTTCGGAAGCAGAGTTGGGCTTCCGGGTTTGATTTAGCTATTGCTTACTCAGGTATTTGTTAATTTTTAGTTTTACTTACAATTATATATTGTTGTGAAAATTGTGGAAAATAATGAGATTTCTTTTTCTAAGTGGCACTAAAAATTCTCTCCTGCAAAGTGTAATTGGTGTAAGGACTGTGATGAACAGAGTAATTTAGTCGCCTAGCTGGCAAAACTGAAGATGTGTTAAATTGTAATTAAGGCATACTACATTACTACATATGGTGTATATATAAGGGATTAGATTATAACTTCATTGTTTTCAGAGTAATTGTTATGGTTGGCCTCTAAGTTGCATTTTGACACATTTTTATGCTATGCAAAGTATCAAACATTTATATACTTAAGTTTTTATATGTTGGTAGAATATTATTGTCATAGTTTTACAAATTTAATCTTAGCTTGAAGGTAAAACTATAGAATCACCTGAGCTCCTACAGAATCGATGGGTATAGTTATTAAGAAATGTTATTGTGTTAGACGACGCTGATTTGAATGCCAACCAGTGTGGGGTTTTGATTATGCAGCTAATCAAGAAGCAAGTCCTACATAATTGATGATACAGATTCACAGTTGAAGAGGATGACTCGAAAAGCTTTTTTGTTTCGAGGCTGAGGTGTGTTCGATAACCAATTCACATGTTATGGATTCTAGGGTGAATTAACGGGAATGAACACTAATTTTAACTCATGTTGGTGTTTAACCGTAAAAGTGAGCTTGTATTGGTCATCTCTACTGGTGCTTATCAGGGAGGCTCTCCAAAAGCTTGTTATTAATACTATGAATGTGGGAAGCTAGTGTTAAGAAGAAAAAGACAGGCTTATATCTGAAATGAACTTTGCTCTTTATTTTTCTTTACCATGTTTGGCAATTGGGACCTGTGTCTTTCCATCTTGTGGCTGTTAAATCTATTCAACCTCTTTCTTTGTTTAAGGTCGACTCCTAAGTTAATTCTCAGCATGGTCAAGTTCTATAGATTCTTGATAAATCTTTGAAGGTCCCTAGTCTTTGATATGCATTGTTGACTTTAGGTTATTTCTAATGTTCATCTTAATATTTCATTTTTGAGAAAGAAATTTAACCCATTTGGTAGGAGGTAATAATAGCTTGTAAGTATAATTTCGAGTGTGATTTTTTTCTAAATATCATCACAATTATGGAAATGTAATCTTATCTTCAAAACTGTGATTTCTTGATAAATGTTCATAGTCACTAGTATAAAAACCTAAAGTAGTGATGGATGATTATAAAAATTCATTGAGAAAAGAAAGGGAGGGTTAGCAAGTATTACTAAGGGTATAAAGTGTTTACATAATACGAAGTACGTTCCTTACAAATTTACATATTTTGTATAAATTTATTCTCATTATTCACTCCTCAAGTGCACGAGATTTGAGAGGAGAATAGTAATTAATCGCTTTTGAAATGATAATTTGGATTAGAAATGTGTTTCAATGCAAAGGTTGACTTTAACCGAGTTGAGAATGTCATGCATTAATGCATTACCTTAACTTAACATATGTGGGCAAATATATGACCTAATAATCTTGGAGAGTTGCCATGATATGTACTTATTTTCTCTGATATACTTCTAGTCTAGATCTAAGCTCTATTAAGCTTCTTAAATTACAAGTTTAGGTTGTTGGTATAGTATTTGTGTTTGAAGTTAGCCTCTATTTTTTACTTTTTTTTATTTTTTTTTATTATCTCAAAAACAGACAAAGTTATATTATTATTATTATTTTATAAGTGCACTTCTTTGACCGGGATAATAAATCGAGAAAAACGCACCCTTACGGCCTTACCCCAATACTCCCGTAATAGAATTTGAGGGGCTGCCCAACCAAACACACATGCAAATGTTGAAGCTTGGGAGCTGCTCCTATGGCGTCCGAAGCCTCTGCTTCTTCCTGCGCCATCCATTGTTTTACTCAACATCAACTTCTCTTACTAATCATGGTAACCCTTCTTCTTCTTCTTCTTTTCTTCTTCTTCTTCTTCTTCTTCTTCTTCTTCTTCTTCTTCTTCTTCTTCTTCTTCTTCTTCTTCTTCTTCTTTCTTCTTCTTCTTCTTCTTCTTCTTCTTCTTCTTTCTTCTTCTTCTTCTTCTTCTTCTTCTTCTTCTTCTTCTTCTTCTTCTTCTTCTTCTTCTTCTTCTTCTTCTTCTTCTTCTTCTTCTTCTTCTTTCTTCTTCTTCTTCTTCTTCTTCTTCTTCTTCTTCTTCTTCTTCTTCTTCTTCTTCTTCTTCTTCTTCTTCTTCTTCTTTCTTCTTCTTCTTCTTCTTCTTCTTCTTCTTCTTCTTCTTCTTCTTCTTCTTCTTCTTCTTCTTCTTCTTCTTCTTCTTCTTTCTTCTTCTTCTTCTTCTTCTTCTTCTTCTTCTTCTTCTTCTTCTTCTTCTTCTTCTTCTTCTTCTTCTTCTTCTTCTTCTTCTTCTTCTTCTTCTTCTTCTTCTTCTTCTTCTTCTTCTTCTTCTTCTTCTTCTTCTTCTTCTTCTTCTTCTTCTTCTTCTTCTTCTTCTTCTTCTTCTTCTTCTTCTTCTTCTTCTTCTTCTTCTTCTCTTCTTCTTCTTCTTCTTTCTTCTTCTTCTTCTTCTTCTTTTTTCTTCTTCTTCTTCTTCTTCTTCTTCTTCTTCTTCTTCTTCTTCTTCTTCTTCTTCTTATCTGATGAACCAACTGGGTTACAAGCCCGATTATTTAGCAATGCAGACTCTTCTATTCACGTATAGCATGAATAAGAGATTATTGCTAAGACATCGAGTCTTACATATTTTGAAGGAGAAAGGGCTTTTAAGGATAGAAGGTTTGTTCTACCATTTGAGGAAGTCCATGAAGTTTATGCTCAACTGACTGGTTCTTCAGTGGAGTCGCTCAATGTAAGAATGTCCAAAAGCCAATCTTAAAGGTTTTATCTAATTCTAGTGTTGCTTGATGTTAGTTGGTGCATAAGTATACTGCTTCTGTTCTTTTTCTAGTGGCAGCACCTCTAAGTCTCTGACTTCCTCTTACATTGAAACTCTGTCCAAGTAGCCTAAATAGTTTAGTAGTTTTACGGGATTTGAAAACATTGCAATGGGCCTGTTATTGTACGCAATTTTGTTCATATACATAATGATGTTGCGATCATCTCTGATTTATTATTGTGTCTATCATTGAGTTCCTGGCAGCAGTAGTGCAGTCCTTGTATTTAGGCTTTTGAATACTTTATTTCAGCATTAGTACGATATGAATTATATCTTATATAGTCTATTGAATGCAGTGCTCATCTTTTGAGTAGTGTTGATCTTGATTAATTCTATAGTGCAATCAGTTCTCTTATGATTGTAGGATAGCTATGTCATAGGATTTAGACTGTGTAAATTTTGCAGAAACTTTTGGTTTGATCAGTCCATAATTTTTCTGCCCTTGGAGTGATGATCTTTATGCATTTGGTGCCTTAATTAAGTTTGTAAATTTTGATATGAATGGGATGTATGTGTTACTGTGGACTAAATATGGAATGTATGATAAATTGTTAAATAATATGTAGCTTTAATTTGTTTTTTTCTCGTCTCAAATAATATTTCTTACCATTGTTTTAAAAATACAGTCGCTTTTTTGTAGATGCCTATTTATATTCAAAACTGCAAAAACATGGTAAGCTGCAGTGTCGGTCTCTTCTCTTATTAATGCTGTTGTGAGTCTTGTTACCACCCTTGTTATATTTTCTATATATTTAATCATCTAGGCTCTTGGAGACTTAAAATCAATAATAATTACTGAGTATTAACAGTTTGTCATGCAATCAATAGTTATCGACTCGTTTCACAAACATCACCATGTCATAGGGTGGAAGCTGCTTAAAATAAAACGTGTTTGATGTTTTTACTTATTACCATTTGGTCATGCAACTAGTTTTATTATTCAATAGAATCAAGAACACTCAAATACCTTTAAGTTGTTACATTCCAGTATAATATACTCAAATTCGTTATTTTATAATACTTGGTCATTACTACTACTAAGCAGTAGATATAAGTGTCGCTTAAGAAGTCAAGGGCATGATAAACTTTTTTTTGTTGGGTCTTTTTAAAGTAAGAGGTTTTTAGTAAGATCCATTTGCTAAGTTTATCGAAAATTTAGGCTTACTCTGGACAATTCTAACAGGGTGGTCACAAGACTGACAACATCATATGGATTATGGAGTATATGATTAGTAGTTAAATAGGACATTTGTTAATGATGAATTTGTAGGATTCTGAAGTAAAAAAAAAAGTGACTAAGTTTTATTTTTGTAGATTTGTAAATTTGTTTAAGCAGTTATTTTTGAGTCCTTTTTTTTTTTTTTCTGTAAAAGGATAATTCATGAACTTCACTATTAAAAGTTTGAATTTTGCAATACTGAATTCGAGTCCAGCCTTTTGGAGTTGCATATGAACTGGTGTATAAATAAAGGCACTGCTGGATTTCTGAAATTTATTTACCATTGAAAATGAATGTAGTGATCTTAACATTTATAATTGCAAAGAGGCCAAAGACAATAATAAAAACTTTGGATTGGGTTGCTTTTGCAGAAAGATCACTCTATTAGAGGAAGCAGGTTAAAGGCATGAAGCTCCATGATAGGATACTCAGCTGATACACTATTGCTGTTTTGGACACGGAAGTCGTTTAACCTACAAAAAATTAGAACATATAATGGTCAGTCTATGGTCTCAAAACAACTTACTCAGGTAACAGATTCCTTTATTGCTTTGGATGATAAAGATTAGATTAATGGGAAGAGGTATGTGATGCTACCAAGGCCACTCGTGATGATATGGATGTGGTTCTTATAGTGATTTGAATGGTAAGTATCATTTAAGTATGTTGAGGAGAGGCCAACTCCTTCCACTCAAGCATGGATAATTTTGTGTATGAAATGTGGGGGACTCAATGGATTTTATAAGCAACTGGGGTAAGAAATTGTCTTGAGCTGTTGATCCTCGTAAGTGTAACAAATATGAAGGCTTAGAACACTTCTAAACTTTTATCTTATTTTGTGTAATGGATGGTATATTACTTCTATTTTGGCTTATCGTGATGGTAGAATTTTCTCATGTGCAGATCCTTTGGTTATCTCTATGGATGTTACTTTATACTAGTTTTTTTAATGCAATTGATTTGTTGTAGGTTTAATGCTGTGCAAGGTTGGTTTTAATTAACTATGAATTTTGCTATTTATGATGCAAATCATACTTCGCATATCGCATTGATGAAATGATCAACAATATACCCTTGATAATCTGATATACCAACTTAGGATTACTAACTATTATTTCCTCTTAAATAACTACAAGTGTAGGTTAAATCAATTGTTATATGATTTCTACTCGTTAATCTGCATGTTTCAATATAAATGCCTCAAATTAACTTTTACACTATTCATATACACTTTTTTTTTACTTATATTAACGTTTATTTTACATAAGATTAGATAAAGTTATATCGGCTCAAATACCACTAATAAAATTACTCATGTAAAAGAATAATCAAGAATTTTCATATAATATCATACAAGACCTCCAGAAAATGAGATTACAAATAACTGAGAAGCTCTAATCTTCAACATGTTTGAAAAGCTATAAAGAAGACAATGGAGGACTGGAGGTGTGAGTCATGAAACAATAATTGTCTAAAAAATATCAGAGTTGTAGCAGAGGTTGTGTACGATTCGGGTGCATATATGGCTAGCTATAAATATAATGTGAGGCTGCGAGCATAAAACATGTTTTTTTATGTACACTCATGTCATGTTTAGTTCATCTTATTTTTACTTATTTCAGGAAAAATAAGTTCCACCACACATTATCGTTTTATGTGTGACTTTATCGCTTAATATCTTTATTTCATAATGAAAACAATTATGAAAATTATATATTAATAAAATATACATTATTATAAATTTAACAAGATCCCATTATCTGTAGTAATATATAAGAGAAAGAGCCTTTTGGGTGATAAATTTCACTATCCCCGAATTGCCCTTTTCAATTTTTACAATTACCTCTCCTATTCACAATTAAAAATTAAATTTTATTTTAATAAAATAATTGTTCTATCATAACTACTATTCCACGTTAAACAAGCAGTTGATTTTAATGCACCAATAAAATTGACAGTTACCAAAAATAAAAAAATATAAAAAAATTCATCAGGATATCACTGCTAAGATATCGTGTTAATGAATTTTTTTTCTTTGTTTCTCAAAGATGTACTTTCCAATCAAACAATATCCTATTTAAAACAATTTTTATAACTTTGTGCACGCATTGTGTGCGCTTCTTACCTTGTTCTTTATAGATTATCGGACATATAAGGAAAAATTTGGTCAAATTTAACAACTAGATTAGATCATACCAAATCAGATCAGATCAAATCAAATCAAATAAGCAAAAATAAAGTGAACTAAATGAACCCGCAATCTTAACCATTTGGCCAACGCCTAATTGATAATTTACCGAGCAATGTTCCCAGCAAATTTTAATGTTAAGAAAAAAAAACAAATGATTCAGATATCGCATTTGTGCACTTTACACAGAAAGCTCCACCAACTCCTCAATATTCTCTCTCCTCTTTTCTCCACTTTCTTCCACCACCTTCTCTTCTTCCTCATCTCACCAAATTTTCAATCGATTGCGATAGAAAAACTTAGTAAATTCAATTAAACGAAGAATTAATCTTCAGAAATAGTTTCGTGATTATCATTTTCTATCTTCTCTACACTCGATATATTCCCACCACCATGGCAGGTGATTTTGCTGATTTTCAATATTATTATTATTATTATTATTTTTTTTTTTTTTTTTTTTGGGAATTTGTAGTTTCTAATTTTTAATTTGAATTTACTCTCAAATTCTTTTGCAATGGTGATGTTATAGTGTATATTAGTATTATTGCTATTGCAAATTATGTGTTTGTTATTTTAACATTGTGGAATTTATAGCTTACAATTTTGTGATGATTGAATTATGCTTTTATTTTTTTTATATGTAAAAGAATAATTGGATCAAATGGTCTGACAATGCCGAGTAGATAAAATAATTACCTTGTTTTGAATCCAGGCTAATAGCTTATTAGGGGAGTTGTGTTGTTAATGTTGATGGGTTAGTATTAATTTCGTCATTGATGTGCTTCAAATGAGCTAGTTTTGGATGTGTCGTGCAGCCGTGATTTTATATATGAGAGGGTGTAAAATTGAACGGTTACACGACTTACACCTGAGTGTAGGATGGAAATCGTATTTTGCTTGCGGGTGTTTTTATAATATAGTCAGATGGGACTCATAAGAGTTTATTTGTGATTTGATATTGAGTTTAATTATATTATCTGCTGCCATATTATAATAAGAAAAAAGTATGCTTGTGATGGTTAGCTAAAATGAGGAGAACAAAACAAGGAGGATAATAGACAGAAATCTAAATCGCTTATGGTTCATTTCTCTGCACTTTGACTGCACAGGAATGGAATTAATTCAATGTGGAAACTGATTTCGGTGTTAACGGAATTGGCACCTTTAACGTATAATCTGGTACACTTGATTCTTGTGGGAATTTTCTTGTTTGTAGCAATCAACTGTTCAATCTCCTCTTCTACTGGATTCGTAATGTTTTATAACCATCTCTGGCTCAATCTGATAATAGACAAAATCCCACAAGGCATGTCAAGCTCATAACATATACCTATTTAAGAATAACTTAGAAAACAAAGAACCTGCCACAGTCATTGTCAAAGGTTTAGAGTTCTAATTCTGATACGAATTGTAAATTTTCATGCAGCGGTGTCAGGGAAGATTTTTCAAAATGTTTCTGTAGCACACCACTGCCAACAAAATAGACAATTCCATAGCCAATGCAGCAGAGACTCTTTTACTTCAAACTTGCGCAACTTCCTTCCATTAAAGGGAAGGAAGTCAGCATGGAATGGTATATTGGCCATGCAGTTGCGCACTTTGTCAATGTATCAGAACAATTTTGTTAGTCGAGGAAGTATTTGCTGCAATGGTCTGTTCTAGACTCTCATTACCAAGATTGCTATCTAGTGCTACCATAGCGCTCTGGCAATCTTTTTTGTTTTTTGTGTTTTTTCTTGTTATTGTTTGACTTGTTCTATTTTATTACCATATTATTTTTTTCTAATTTTTTTTTGGCTGCTTTCTTGCTTTTGAAGACTAAAATTACTTGTACTTCATCTAGATTCACATGTTGTTATGCACTTGCAGCTGCTTCATCTTCCGCAGCAGTTCGATCCCTAGGAAAGAGTGACTTTCTCAAACTTCAAAATGGCAGGTAAGAGAACATTATGCATCATTTGGGCTGTATTCTTCCGACTTATCAGTCTACTTGAAATGCAGTTAAGAAATTTTATACTTTTCAACTTCTTATATGATGTGATTGTTTATATTCGTGGCTTTGCATATTTGAGGTGTATGGTTCCTTGTATATATTTTGAAGGTGAACAACTTTGAAATAGAAAACTTTCATATGCTTATCTGGTAGCTTGTTCGGACCCTTGAGCTTATTTTTTCTTCTTTAAGTACATTTTTTAATAGTCAATTTTTGATCAAATTCAGAAATTATTGATAATTATCTTGCTAGCATGAGTTTTTGTAATATATGGTGCATTTTGCGTGTAGCTTGACAAGCTATACCAGAATTAAACTTTTTCATGTCCAATATCCTTTCATTCATCATGGTATCACACCTTGATGTCATACTTCACATCCTGATGAAACCAGATTTAACAATTAGTTCTAAGCAAGCAACTGAAAGACTTTAGCCCTGGCACTATATATATAATAAACAATTAGGGTTTACAACAAGGTACAATGTTACCCTTAATATTACTCTATTAGATTTCATACCTACAAACTGGTTGCAAATTCACATTTTTGGGAGGTAGTGCTTGATGGTTCTTTTATATTTTATATTCTTTAATATTTTTTTATGTGTCAAATTGGTTTTTCTTTCATATCTTGATCATTTATTTATATAGATATAGAAGTATTGGGAAATTGAGACTAAATGAGACAATGTTAAGTTGTGGAACTGTAATAGAGGTTAGTGGATAGTATCAGAAGTTAAATATTGGTGTTATAATGAGTATAGATATACTGTAACAATATGGCATATTGTTGAATGCTAGCTTAATTTGTTATTAGCTTATCCAATGATGTAGTAGTCTATCTTTAATTATTTGAGGATTAATATAAGCAGTGCAAACACTAAATCTTGTAAAAGGGTAAAGGCTAAGTATTGAAGAGAAACAATAGTAGCTAATAGGTTGTAGCAGTCTTATTCAACATACTAATTACACCTGCAATCTTATACAAAAGAGCATAACATCAGTGTATGTTGTAGGCTCATTCCATCAAGGTAAATTTGTATATTAAATATTCTCACAATAACCTATATTTGAAACCATAATAGATTTTAAGACTTTTAACGATTTTTATGTTTATATTTTTGGGAGACGGCCAGTTACATAAGTATCCTTAATTTTTTTTTTATTGGTGAAGACATAAGTATCCTTAATTAAAATAGATAAATTTACAATTATACCCCTTTCCTTTGGGATGTAGATGGCAAAATTCCAATTCCCCAATTAGAGGCCCTTTTTCAAATTTTTACTTGGGCAAAGGGGGTTTGCATTGCATAGATCTTGTTGGGACACCCAATTTGAACAAATAAAATAAAATCGGCCCGATTGGAACATAGGAGCAAAGTCACGACCTCCCGAAGTTTTCCCTCCATATTTCTAAATTCAGGCCTCGGGAACCGATAAAGGCCCATGCCTGCCTAGTATTTGGAGGTGGCCTTTTCCTGTCCATAAGGAGTGTTGGAGTTTCTCTCTTGTGATTTTGAATTGATGCCACTTTGATTTGTGGGCTTTAGAAGAATGAAAAAGAAGATGTGGTGGACTAAAGCTTTTTATGGTGATTCTCTAGCCCTTATAAGTGCAGGATGCTTATATTTTTCTCAGGAATTGTGCTAACCTCTGCTAACTAGTAAAATGCTTTGGGATAGAATAACTTATCTAGCATTTTTGTGGGCTTTGGTAGCGGGGCTTTTAGCAGTTAGTTTGGGAAATTCAAGGATACTGGGCTAAGCTGTTCCTGTTGCTAGCAGGACAGCTTGTCTTAACTTTTAGTAATCTGTATCTGATGTTCTAATTTTTTCTTTGTCAATGTAATGTAATTCGGAACTAGTACTTTTCCAATATAAGCTTCGAAGACAATGATCATTGTTGATTGTTCTGGATATATTAGACCAATGAAGTTAAAGAAACTCATTTGCACGTGATCTTCCTTTATAGTAAATGTGATTAAAGGAAAGCATTTTGTAATCATTTTGTTGCCAAATAACTTCTCTATCCTAGTAAACAGAATTGGCTGAGCACAAAATTTCTGTATCTTGTACTGCCTGCACTTCTTTCTTTTATCAGCATAATGGAAAACTAAAAGACAAGGACCAGAAAGATAAATGGTTGTTTGTAGAAGATCAAAGTATAGATTGCAGTCAATTGCTTCAGGGAATTGGGGTTATCATGCTTTGGAGTCTGGAGATATATTTTGTAGATGTTGTCACTTGAATTAGTTTTGGTTAAAATATAAACTAATTTGAAAGGTGCATTTTTATTAATGACCAACTTATGGTTTGCTAATCAACAACCATTACTCATCTTTTATTTATAAAAATGGCAGCATTTGTTTTACTAATGTGTTTGATTTTACTGCCGGAGTGGGGACTTTGTAATTTTTCGTCAAAACTAAAATTTTGGTTCTGTACATGTGTTTTCGTTTTTGATACAGTGATATCCGAGGGGTTGCTGTTGCTGGTGTTGATGGCGAACCTGTTACACTTACAGACCCAGTATCAGAGGCAATAGCTGCTGCATTTGCTGCATGGCTTTCTGATAAAAAGAAAGTTGATGCGTCTACACCCATGAGCGTTTCCATTGGTCATGATTCTCGAATTTCAGCATCAATGCTTCAGGTAAATTACTGGATTTTTAAATAAATATATTGTAATTACCTTCTTTAAGTCTCATAAGAACAATTAAGCAATTGTCTGTTTTAAAAAGATGCTGAAAATCTTGCAAAATGTATTTGACTACTTGTCTCTCTATTGGTATGGAGTCTTTTGATTATGGTACAACACATGAGTATCAAAAGTTTGCTGAGTATGTTTGATAATAACGAGTGTCAAAGTTTAAGAGAAACTCTCTTTCCTGACAACATTGTTAAATTTTATGATTGGTCTTTGAATTGTTTATAGAAATATCATCTTGAATGTGAAGCTATGCCCCAAAAGCCACCTTAATAATGACTAGTAGAGAAATGTTGTCATACTCCCAGGAAAAGGCTCATGGAGGACGCATTTCCGGTTCTAGATTTTTTATCATGTCCTACTTGATAAGGATTACAATGCCAAAGGAAACCGAGATAGTGTGGCCTCATCCTTTAGATTTTTTGAATTTAAAGCTAGAGGTGTCTAGAAATTTACCACTATAACGATGTTTTTGATCCATCGATGTCATCTCTTCCTATTATTCTGAAGCCAAATTCACTAATTGTTGGATTTTTCACCCACCAATTGGGAACATAAGCTTGGTTTAAATCTTATTACCCAACTAGTGTCTCCATGATAAATCAACCTAGTATGAGAGGAATTGTTGATTCACAAAGTTGGTTATCGCATTTGGTTGTAAAGCTAGTGGCGCAAAGCTACCATGTGGGCACATGGCCGCATGCGCCCATTATAGGGGCTTTGGTCCCTAAGAGCATGTGTCGGAGGCTAAGTCAACTGCCTTAGAAGTATAATTATATAATCGAGTGGAAGGTTGACTTCTTTTATAGATGCCTTAAATACGCGACAGGGTATTGTTAGTGTCATAGTGAGTTTGATTCCTAACTACTAAGATTTAAACATATGTGTATTCGATTCATCCTCCACCTATTCCCTATAAACACTTATATTTGGCTAAACAAGGGTAGGAGCGTGCCTTGGTTGCTAAAACAATTACTAAGTTTGTGGGCAAAGTCTAAATTACATGGGCCCCTCCTTGAGCATGGGGTATGGGCAAAAAGCATGAGCACTAGGACAACGCAGAAAAACACCTCGCCTTAAGGGCATTTTCGGAGAGGCATGACATGAAGTAGAGCCAAGCCAAGAAAAGAGCAAGAGAAGAGAAGAGGCAAGGCAAGGCAAGGCGTACTTAAGACATCATAAGACTTGATTATGAGTGCTGCATAATCATGGGCCAAGACATGAATTAGGTGGCTCCAAACACCATATAGGCCTCCTGAGGTTTTGCACCTCGATGAATAACCATGTGTCCAAAAAAAAGTTGTGCGGAGACTAAATTTGAAGGCTATAATCCACAAAATCTGACACAATGTCGCAGATTTTGAGAGGCGTTGTAGAAACTCTAGTGATGGTGGGGTATGCATCCTAAAGTCAAAAAATGTTGTTTGGAACCATATTTGCCCACTAGTTGTTCCCATAAAAGCATAGTGTTTAGGGAAATTATAATGGGAGGCTTGTCCTTAAGTGGCTAAACGGATAGCTAAGAGTCAAAGACTCAGAGTAGGTAGTTCAAACAAGTTTTTGTGGGCTCCATGAGAAGAAATTTGTCCTCCTTCCTTTTCGCCTTGAAAAGTAAAAAAATATTTAAAATTGAAGGATGTTATCCATGCTTTCAAACAATTTAGGAAAACTTTATTACCGGATGTGTGTGTGTGTTTTTTTTTTTTTTTTTTTTGGGGGGTGGGGGGGGGGTGTTGTCTCATGGGGTTATAAAAGTTGGTTTGGGTCCATAACCATCCTACCACTAGGTTTACATTGTCTTAATAATGATATTTGGTTCAATAATATGGCTATCTCGAATATTTGTTATAGTGGTATAGCTGCAAGAGATTGTTATAATCACCAACTAGGCATTCGAGATCCTAGTAAGGTGTCGATAATACATCACTAGGTTATTACACCCTCCCACCTTTGTTGATTTTGGTTGTTTACCATTGTTCATAATTAAGTCTTTGTAAAAGAATCCAAAAAGGGATATTATGGAACTTCATGGTTGGTAAATCAGTATGGATGAAAATCATTTCATTTGTTTTTCCCTATTTTTACCTATTTTATCAAATAAATTACATAAATTAATATAAAATTTTATAAATAAAATAATTTTCTTATAAACACAAGCTTGTGTAGTTGTATTCAATGCCCCTCATCTCCAAAACAAATAACCCATGCACCAGCACCACCACCATCCCACAATGCCCCATGCCCAATTCATAACAAGCCCCAAACCTGAAAAACGAGCTCTCCATGACCCCATGGGATCCCTAGGAGATCCCAAAGTGTGAAATTCCCATCCCAATATTTTTCACAATGTTTTCTTATATTTAGGATAATTTCTCACGTTTTTCATATTTCCCCCCTTTTTACCCTATTTTTCCCATTTTTCTCCTTCAGCCTTTTGATTAAATTGTAATGGTCTATAAAAATGCTGATGAGCACTACTCCATACTCTCAGATTATGCACAAACAAAATTAATGGTTGACAGATTAAGTTGCATCAGAACATAAAATACACAGGTGAAGTAGTAATAGTCCATGCTTTCGTTCTATCATTAGTTGCCAATTCAATGCAGCCTATACAGGCCTCCAGGTTTTTGCTGAATTTTAATTTGATACAGCTTCCTTGTTCAGAAAAATGTAATTTTGACGCATCTTTTGCTTAAGAAATTTAATGTGACTGACATATGTGCTTATCTTTGTCAGTTTAGATTTCAAATGATAAGTTTCCTGTGAGTTATCTTTGACATTTTATACCCCCCCCCCCCCTAAATGTCTTTTTTAAGCAATGATGATATACTGTTCTTTAACGACATTATTTTTCTGAGTTGCTTCCTGCTGCATTTTAATATGTTGAATTTTCCTTACAAACCCTGTATTCCTATACTAAATGCTGTATCCCATATTATGAAGTATGGCTTTCTCTCCACAAAATTGTAGAGCAATTTCAGCCTTCCATTTGCACTTCAGCTGATAATAAATTATCGAAATTCTATTGTTAGGATGCTGTGTCTCGAGGCCTGATGAGTTCTGGTGTCAATGTTTTGCACTTTGGGTAAGCTGTCTCTATTCATCTTATTTTGCTTTCATTACAATATTTGTTTATGCTAGACTAGATTGCCTTCTCACCTATTTTTTAATTTCAAAATTGGTAATATTCCTGTTTTATGCAGCTGGACATGTCTAGCACTGTTACTCCTTCCGTCCACAAATATTCTTCCTGTATTCCTTTCCACAAAAAATCTTCATGTTGCTTTAAATGGATAGAGTTCACACTTAATCCATGTGATGTGGACCGCACCACTAATTTTCTCTCTCATATCATCACTCCTTATGCATGCCCAATCCTAATAGGAAGATTATTTGTGGGCAGGAGGAATGTTAGTTTTTAGTGGTTAAATGACAGTTCTCTTTCTTTTTTTATTTTAGTTATCATGCTGTCAATGAGTATTGAGGAATTGATGAACACATAAATATTCAGGAGCCTGGTTTAATGCATTGGCAATTATAGTTCTTACAAATTGGTTAAACTTATTTTTTACCTGATATGATCAGTTTCAATGCTCAACGAACAATTTTCCACCTAAGTAATCTTGTTGGTTTGTGAAGCTTTAAATTTAGCTTTTGTTGGGTAAAAAACTGGTTTATCAAGGATGGAAAAGATTTTCCTTTCGTAAAGAAGGAATGCCACAATCTCCTCGAAAAAAAACCTCACCTTCCTCTACTTCTTGTTTTCATTCCTTCCCCTGTGTTCCTCCTTTTCCATTCTCTATCTTTTCTTTAAAGGAACCAAACAAAGGAATACTGATATTCAGTTGCATCTTCCCTTGGAAAACCAATTCCATAAAAAGTTGTTTTCAGTTAAAAATGTCTTTCGTTCAACCAAACGTAGCCTTAATCTTTTTCCCTGTATGAAATAGATTAATCATTTTGATATCCTGTCTTTATAAATAAAAGACTATTGAGAAGTTAATATACTCCTCTGTATTGTAATTAGGTGATGTGGGAATGAAGCAGTCAATTACTTCGTATAATATTGATGACTCACAACTTTTGTTTGTTGTAAACAATTGCTTGTTTCTCAGGGTGTATACTTAGATTTAAAAGGTCTTGGACATAAGTTAAAGCCATGAATATGATAGTTCATATATAATGCAAGTCTTAAAATATCCTTATCTCATTGTATAAAGACATTATGTTATCCTTATTGACCAATTAATCAGATAGGTAGCTATCTTCTTTCCCTTCCTGTTTCTTGAATTGGAATCCGTGTATGGAAATTTAGGTTTTTCACATACTCATGTGCACACTTGGTTCTGTTTAATGATTTGTAATGAGCCTTTTTGACAAACTTCAGATATTACATGCAGGCTAGCTTCCACACCTGCAATGTTTAATAGCACTCTCACTGAAAATGAGGAGATTAGGTGTCCAGTTGATGGAGCTATCATGATAACAGGTAGTCAATCATTTTTATGTTAATGGCATAAATGATTTATAATTTCGCTGGTATAGTGTGGGAACTTGGAAAGTTGGAAGTAGTACTGATCCAGTTACTATAGCCGCATACTGAACTAGTGCCTTATCATATCAGCTAGTCATCTTCCTTACAACAGAAATGGATTCAAATTTTTTACCAATGCTGGAGGTCTTGGTAAAGCAGACATCAAGGATATTCTGGAGCGTGCTTCTGATATATACAATAAAGTAACTGATGATGGTCTCCAAGAATCACAGGGAACATCTTCTGCATCTGTTAGAAGTGTAGATTACATGTCTATCTATGCATCTGATCTTGTGCATGCCGTTCGCAAAGCAGCTGGAAATATAGGTGATCTTGCAACTTCTGTGTCTCAAATTCTTCATGTGTGTGTGTGTACAGTTTGTGTGTGTGTGTGTCTGCGTTTGTGTGTATCAGTTATTTATGCAGAGCAGATCTAATAACTAGGGCTGAACATGGGTAGGTACCCAAAACAATAATGTTATCAGGTCAGGTACTCGATAACCAATATAACCATAATGATGCCCGCGGACAGTACTGATAGTATCGTATACCTAAAATTGTCCTTTTAAATTTTTGTTTATTAATAATTAATTTTTATTACAGACAAGCCACAGTGACGCATTTTATGACTTTTTTTTTTTTTTTTTTTTTTTTTTTCTTTAGAAAAACTAATTATTCCACTTTCCACCAAGAGTTTTAAAGCCTTAACTTTTAGAGTTAGATGAGCAACAATAGCATCAACATCTTCGACTGATTAAACTAAGCACATGTGATGAATTCCTTAAAATTATTTCTTCATTTTCTTTTATATATCAAGTAGGTCATGGCAATTTCACTCCAAATTATGGGTGTTATAACAAAACTATTTTAAGTGTAGAGAGTAGAATATCTATTTTTAGGTGATTTGTTGTGAAAAGAGCTCATATCTGCCTTCTTAGTATCTCCTTATAAGTTAGAACCTTGGACTTCTTTTTTTTCTTCGGAAATGTTTGATATTCTAATATAAGACCAGCAAAGATATGAATGTTGTCATTTTCTGCTGTCATCTGTTTCTTCTTTAAATTGCTTATTCTCATTCCTTTTTATTCCTTATATCAGAGAAGCCTCTAGAGGGCTTTCATATAGTTGTTGATGCTGGCAATGGAGCTGGAGGCTTTTTTGTTGTAAGTATTCTTTTGTTTTGCAGTATCCATTCTTGACTAAACATCCATTTTGACCATTATCTATTTGTCTATATTGAAACTTGAAACTGTGTCTTCTTCTCTACTTGTATCTTAATGTCAAAATCTGGGAACAACATGAAACATGTCTGTGCTCTAGAAATTTTACTTTGTCTTCTATTCTTTTTTTAAACTTTAAAGTACTCTTCTTTTGTTAGACTAACAAGTGACATCAACTATATTCTATTGTCTATACTTGTACTGTTTACCTTCATTTATTTTGAATTTGATCTGAGGATATAATTACCTATCATCATTCCCAAGCTCAGTGCTTGGAAAAATATTTCCCACTTCATATTATTGTATCATATGCTCTCTTCTTCACGATAATGCTCAAGATCTTTGCGTGGCTTGTATGATCTACCTTATTAAGATGGGTTATAAACGAGGCTTGATTTTTCCCTTCATGTCACAATACAGTAACCTGCAGAGTCTCTAACTTCTCTCTATCAATTTGATAAATCTAAATGATGCGGTGTTGTTGTTTTGATTCATCTTGATAATTAACAATGAATTTGAAAAAGGCATGGTGTCCCTGATTTCTTGATACTCATCTGCTCAGTAACCTTTCCCATTAGTTTTCACTGGAGATGACTGAGGTCCATCGGCTTAACCAATGCTTTCCCTTCAATCTTTTCCTTGCCAGCATAAGGAGCTCTTTGGTATACAGTTTAGGAAGCTAGCTTTGTTATTGCCTTCCCTTATTAGATAGTCTCTGGTACTCTGATTCGGTTCAGAAGGCCTTTACTATGCTGTAACAATCCTACATGGGATACTATCCTGTTAATGGGTGGGTCTCAGGGAGGATTAGGCTCTACAACACTTTGTCTTTACAATTATAAGATTTTTGAGATTTAAGTCTTGGATTAATAAACATACTTTTGTATTAAAAAAGACCATTCACAACAATACATACATAGGGGCTACTGTTCTTCAATGTGATGTGACCAAAACAGCCAAGTTATCGACTTTGTACTGATGATCACTGGTGGGCGGTAGCCATAAAGTCAGTAATGGAGGTAAGAGGAGAAAGTAAATTGGACCCACCAGACAATACCCCTCGAAACAGGAAGGTAGGAGGGAGAAACCACTTTTGTTAAGTCTTCATGTGTGGGATATTCGATATATTGACCTTGTGTATTGGCACTTGGCATCTATCTTTCTACATATTTAGTTAGCTGTCATGGAAATTGGAAGTTCCTGGAAAAAAAAAGGAATCACATTGAACTTTAGGAGAAGTTTAACCTCCCTATCTTACAAATTTTCTTTTTTCTCTTCTGTAAGTTGCATTGTTTGGCTCAACAAGATCAGCTTTTAATAGAAATTGTTAAGTTTTGGAAATGAAACTTCCACAAGAATATCAATTTTTAAGGCATTAATAATGTATGCTTTGTAGAATTGCCTTCTATGGAAGTTGATGCTATAAATTGTTCATGGAAACTTACATTGATTTAACCCCGCCTACTAAGCAACATCCCATGTCTCATAGGAAATTATCTATATGGGGAACATGAAATTTCATGATATCTATCTAACTAAATACTCTCTTTTGTTGTTATATCATCGTCCTCTTAGGCTTGAGCATGCATATTAAGAGTAGATATTTGGTTTGTCTAGGTTTTTTTGGAAGATAGTGAAAAAATAAGATTTAAAAATTTTGTTTGAGGGGGAAAAGGTTAGTGGAAGGTCTCATATCACATGTGGTATGAAGAAAGAGAGTGAGTGTGCGATACTTGGTGGTGGAGCCCAAATCATATGGGTTAGATAATGGGTGAGAAAGATTTTCCATTCAAGGTAACACCACAATTATTTGGGGACTGATCAAAATAGTATATATTAATACACGACAATTATTTGAGGAGGGAGGTAGTTATATGCATTTTTTCATCTATTATACTTTCAATGTTATAAACTAATCATTGTTAATGGATTCGAAATTCCAAGTTTTGTATAAGAAGTTTGACTTCAATAGTTTGTAACTTGCATAAGTTGATTCTAGGAACCAAACAAGGCTTTAAATTCCAAGTATTCTTTTCAGTAGAACATGTGGATAAATCATAAAGAGTTGCAGAGTATCACGTACTTGTTATATTATAGAGGTTTATTTCAGATTGCGAATTTGCAATCTTTTGAAACTATTTCTTTTTCTTTTATATGAAAACGCCTTCTCTGTCAATTTGAAAATTCAAAAACACTAGTGCACCTTTTGGAATTACATTATTTCCTTTTTTCGATATCATTGAAAAATATTGGCGAAACAAATCATGTTACACCTTTATATCATAGATTTAGAAGATTTTACTTAAGTATCAAAAAATTATGAGAAACGAGTTTCTTATTGGATTACCTTATGATAAAATTTGTTGGATCCCCAATGATGATTTCTGCTAATATTTATCATAGTAAGGAGAGAATATTATACGAAAATTAGTTGTGAAAGCTTTTTTATTTTCCAATTTTTCTATAATAATACCGATGACCTTTTCTTGTGAAATGAAGTCGGGCTGGGTAATAAACCGTAATAGTGGCTATGTTTTTGTCAATGTGATGTGTTGATTCTGCAACATCTACTCTGAATAGGATTTTCATATCTAATATTAAGGCTTGGTATTCTTTTGAATTACTTCTAGGACAAGGTGCTTGAGCCTTTGGGTGCTGTCACTAGCGGCAGTCAATTCTTGGAGCCAGATGGTAATTCATGGTATTGCTGACTTGTTCAAGCGAGGTTCCTGATGCTTTTCTAACTAGTTTTATTTGCTTTAGGTATGTTTCCTAATCATATCCCAAACCCAGAAGATAAGGCTGCAATGAGAGCAATCACTGAGGCAGTTCTTGATAACGAAGCAGACTTGGGCATCATTTTCGATACCGATGTGGATAGGTAATAGTTTTCTTGTGACATGTTCTTGCGGTTTATTGTGTTTATTTATGATATTTTCCTTTTATAGGTCTGCTGCTGTAGATTCTACTGGCAGCGAGCTCAATCGAAATCGTTTGATTGCTCTAATTTCTGCAATAGTCCTTGAAGAAGTAAGAATTTCTGCTTTCGCGTATCAATTTCTGTTTTATACGGAGTGTATTGTTAAGTAGAAGGAGCTTCTAACTTTGTTTGTTTTCCTACAATATACCTACATTAGCATCCAGGGACAACAATTGTCACCGACAGTGTGACTTCAGATGGTCTTACTCTATTTATTGAAAAGAAACTTGGTGAGTTCATGTCCAACAATCGATCAACTTAATGTTCCACATTGGACTTGATTTGGTTTTCTTTATTGGTATATACTCTGAGGACTTGTTATTGACTTTGTATGAATAGGAGGAAAGCATCACAGGTTCAAAAGAGGGTATAAAAACGTAATCGATGAAGCTATTCGGCTGGTAATATTTATGTTTATCATTCGATAGTTTTTTGAGGCTAGCAAATATACATAGAAAATGGTACTATATTTTATCATTTCATTTGTCCATGTTGAACTTTTTTTTTTTTTTTAAACCATATGTTTCCTTGATTCCTGTCATTAGGTTTGCATATATTGCATATGTTTTTGTTACATATTAGAGCTTGAACTTTGATTTCCTTTTCTTTGTAAGTTATTCTAGTACACATTTCAGTCGGTATAGATCTTGAACCATGTAATACAATCCATGTTCTCCTCATTTGTGGCATTGGATCAGATATGGAACATCATTTTTCTAGCATAAATACATACTGAACTTATAGTTTCTTCTTGATAGAACTCTATTGGAGAAGAGTCACATTTGGCCATTGAGACCAGTGGGCATGGTGCCCTCAAAGAAAATCACTGGCTTGATGATGGAGCTTACCTCATGGTAGGCAATTTCTCTTATTACTGCCTTCCCTTTTTGCTTTTCGTTCTGGATTCGTTTATTCTGTAAGTAAAGTATGCCTTTTGCAGGTTAAGCTCCTAAATAAGCTTGCTTCTGCCAGGGCATCAGGAATTAAAGGGGGCAGCAAAGTGTTGACTGATTTGGTGGAAGGCCTGCAAGAAGCAGCTGTTACTACTGAATTGAGATTGAAAATTGATCAGAATCATGTAGATCTGAAAGGAGGGTGAGCAATGGTGCCTTGACTTGCTTAGCATCTGCTCACTTTGAATTGGGTTTCATGTCATGACCTATTATCAATACATATGGGCAGATCCTTTCGGGACTATGGAGAGGCTGTGCTGAAGCACTTGGAAAATGTAGTGGATTCAGATCCTAAGCTCATAAAGGCCCCAGTTAACTATGAAGGCGTAAGTTTTCTACTAGCATCATCCACATGAATGATATCTTAGTCATAAACAGGCTCCATATCAAGTATTTTTTTCTGCCTTCACTTCTTTAATTTAACCTCATATGAGAGTTCGCTTACTATCAAATGCTATCTCTTCCTGAATCTCTCTGTGCTGGTGGCATTTTAAGTTGTAACTATCAAATGCTATTTCTTTCTTAGCAATGTTAGCATGCCACTCTAGACCTCTAGTTGGTTTCCAGCAATGTATGCTTGAAAATAAAATAAACTACTTGTATCCATGGATACAATGAATTAAATTGCTCACATAGCATATGTTGGACAAATGCTGGATGTAATATCCTTAAGTATTCCCCTTTGCTGCTACTAATATATAAATAAATTTGAATAAATTCTATTGACAATGTATAGTGTATAGTCTTTACTTTTCAAGAGCATAGTGCTTGTTTTTGTCCATGGAATAGTAAAAGAAATCACATGGATGACTTTTTCATATAAGCAATCAGGAATGGTCTTTTGAAAGCTGAATTTCACAAAAAATAAATAGTCTCAACTAGTATTTTTATAGATACGGTTGGACTGTCTTCGTCAACTAATATTGAGATATATTCCCAGTTTAGCTTCTAGCCTTCTACTCCCCCAATCTATATTGTCATTCAGTTTATTTTATTTGACCCAAATTAATTGCTGTTTTAGGCTTCCAATGCAATGTTGAATGTCCCTACACAGTATCCATATAACAGTATAAGTAAGTTTACAATGTGGATCAGAGAGAATCATATAAATTATTTTCTTCTCTGTACTGTCTGGATGTCGTCTGATACAGATGATCTGAGGAAATTTTGGAGGTTCTTATGGTCTGGATTTTACAAGTTTATCCTTTTCGATTCTATTTTGTTTTTCTTTCTTTTTTTATATGTACTACTTCCTCCGTTTCTTTTTAGCTGATATGTTTACTTAGCCGTGTTTTCCAATGCACAAATCAAATCATTAATATCTTTAATGTCCAATAAGTAAGAAGTATTTAGGTTTATGCAAAGCAATCTTTTCTATACCCCTCACTGTACAGGAATATTTACCAAACTTGTGTTTTCTCTCATGAACAGGTTAGAGTTTCTGGTTTTGGTGGCTGGTTTCTGTTACGACTCTCACTTCATGATCCTGTTCTACCACTTAACATTGAGGTAGATAAAATATTTACTTTTTGAGGCACCCATTAATATTGTTAAATATGCTGTTTATAAATGAAGGATTATTGTAGGCACCAAGCAACGATGCAGCAGTGAAACTTGCTCTTGTTGTGCATGAAGCTGTCAGAGAGTTTCGAGCTTTGGATACATCATCATTGGATAAGTTAATCCATGGCAATTGAGTTTACTCTGCTGAGGATGTTCCTCCCAGGCACTACATTGGTGGTCTCTTGGACTCCAGCTTCTGAGAGCTGTATTCTGAATACTGATCATGGTGCCTATTTGCTTGCGAAAAAAGGGAAGAAATTACCCCAGAGGTACAAGGATTTGAACAATTGAAAATTTCAGAGTAAGGTAAACATGGGAAGGCAAGCATAGGTTAACAATTTCATAAACTTATTACTTCTTGTATCAGGTTGTAAATTTTGACAAATTTGAAGTTTTGAGATATAAAAATTGAGAAGTTAATGATATCCCAATTTCTTTGAGAATTTTTGAAATGGCAAGGAGTACACATGTTTTATCACGACAGTCTGCTCATTTTTGAGTCTTGTTGAAATCATCACCAAAGGTGGTAGATGGTGAAGACTATAATACCAAAACCCGAACACACCATGGCTCAAACTCTGCCTGGAAATAGGCAGCAAAACTGGGGTCATTCTACATCCCAGTAGAAAACCAAGTGGTCAGGCTAAAATGCTAAATCGTAGAGACTGCCAGGGAATTCTGAAACATCTACATGCTTTACTGGCCTTCACAGGGGATTGGTTAGGTTAGGTCACCATTTCTGCGGTCTTTAGTGTTGAACACTTGAACGCGATCTGAAGAAATGGTGAAGATGACAATCATTTCTACTACAATAGAAATGTGCATCAAGTAATCAACAATATTAAGGGAAAAACAAAATCACAGAAAAACACATTTATCCATGTTCCTCTAACCAAATTTCGAGCATAGCAACGCCCTCAGTAATTTTACTTCCTCATCGATAAGTGACACAAACACTACAAGCTAGCACATCTAGCAGCCCACCTTCACCATCCCACAACCGTCAATGTACGTACAAGTCACAACACCACAAACTGTGAGTTCATGATGCACAATACCATAAACTTTGGGTCATAGCTAGCACATTGGTGGCATGATATATTGGACACAAAATAGAAATATAAGGAGTTACATTTGACGATCGATAACCATGAAGTTAGACAATTTCACCCTAAAGATTAATTGTAGGAGAAATTTCTTCATTTGGTCAATATTCAAAGTCAACTAATAATCACATTCATACAAAGTATGTAATCATAATCTCTCACATTGATAATTGCAAGATATATTAAAATATACGAAGTATAAACTATCGTAATGTTTAATTTGGACCCTAATAAATTATTATAAAAACACAAGTGATTATGAAAACGCAAAATTACTTGTACAACACATATCTTACATTATTATGTTGCTACATATTACTCACAAGTTACAAGTTTTACGATAGATGTATGAAGAGGTTTATATATATGGAAAGAATACAAGGATAGCAAACTTTTGTTTTCAACCACCGCCTCCGCCACCACACCCTGCACCTCCTCCGCAGGCACCGGAATTGAATCCACCTCTACCATGATTACGACCATAACCTTTACGATGTTTTTTCTGTTTATCTGTACCATCATCAGCACACGAAAATACGAGCATGGATATAACTGAAATGGACATGACAATTAAGCCAAGCAACACCATCATACCACCAAGACTCCCGAGCAGCTCGAAACCGCCAACTCCATATGGAATACGCTGAACAGACCTCATTAACCTCATTACTTTACTTTCTTCTCGATCTTTCCCTTAAGCTCTTTTCTTATGACTTTTCGCTCCAAGAATTTCAGGGTCTCCTCAAAGCAAAAGGACAAAGTATTTGTAGGATATATAAGTACAAGTATTAATAATTAATCTCATCAAGTTGATTGATGATACTTATTTTTAAAATTATTTAAGCATAGTTTGTTTATTAGCGACGTGCACATCAATACATGTTGGCTTTTGACAAGCTTCTAAACGGATACTTCATACTTGTATATATTTTTTGTTTTGATTATCTTGACTTTTCAAGACTAGTTAACAATTTTAGTGGAGGAATTTGTTTTAATATCTTTTTGTAAGAGAAAAAAAAAACACATATTTATGTATGGCATTGCATAACTCTTAGAAGAACTATCGACTTTATCAATAACCAGTTTTTTAAAAGGAAATTGCTGGGGTAAAGTTTCAAAATAATCTATTCACACTTTCTTTTTATCATCTTTTGTTATGTATATGTAAGAAATATAATCATATATATAAGATTTTGTTAGTTTTGCCTTTGATATATTTTTTGAAAATATCAATTTTTTTACGGTGTATAAATTAATTTATCAGGAAAAAAGATATATCAACTAACAAAAACCGAAAAAAGTATTATAATTTACATATTCTTTCTTGACTTATACACAATAATTTTTTTCACACTGCAAAATCACTTACACAACATACAGACTTAAATTGCTTCATTAGTCGGTACAAATATTATTCCTCACAATAGTCACGAATTACAAGTTTTACTACACATGTACAAAGTATAAATGAAGAGGTATATAGGAGGAACAAATGCAAAGAAGGAGAACTCTCATGAAAAGTGACGAAGATCAATATTTTAGCATGAATATGTACGTTTATTAACAACCGCCGCCGCCGCCTCCACCTCCGCCCCCACACCCACCTCCACCTCCATAACCACCAAAAACGAATCCACCACCACTAGTATGACTCTTACGACGGTGTTTTTTTGGTGTATCGTTACCATCATCAGCACACGCAAATACGAGCATGGAAATAATTGAAACGGACATAACCATCAAACCGAGCAATGCCAACATACCACCAACGCTTCCGAGCAGCTCGAAACCGCCAACCCCATACGGGGCATGCTGAAAAGAACTCAATAGCCTCATCACTTTTCTCTGTTGATTTTTCTTCCTAAAAGAATTTCAGGGTCTCCTCTAGCAGGCAAAGGGTACATGTATTTATAGGAAAAGTATTAACCATTCATAAAATAATTATAACTTGTATGATTACATTTCTTAAGTAATTAATTAAGTATACTTTGTTGTTAAGCAATAAAAGTCTACTTAGACTGAGGCAGGGTTGATTTTTCCACAGATTATTTCAGAATGCCGCGTTGAAGGCATGGATGCTTGTGGTTCTTGAGTCCGGGTTATAAATGGCTTCATCAAAATGAATTAAGAGCGAGCCTCTAACGCCCAAGTTAATGCCCAAACAATAAATAATATTAAGAGGGAAAGGGTAGATAATTGAGAGAGTCATCCTTTACCATTATCACCAACAGAGTATTTGGAATAAAAGAAATACGGAGTATAAATTATCATCTAAACATATCATATATAGAGCTATAACATAAATTTATTATAGTTTACGTTTGTATTGTCAATATATATATCATTATACACATTAATTCTTTTCACATACTAAAACTTGAGGCACACCAAATAAAATAAAATAAAAAGTAACCTTAGTAACGTTTGGACGCCTTAGCATGTAGCAACCACCACCTTACAAACACTTCCACACAAACCCAAACAAAGCACTTATTGATATATCTAAAAACAAGTGCAAAGAAAGGTTTATAGAAAAGAAACCGATTATTGTTGAGTCGAATTGAAGTTTGATGTTTAATACTTTTAGCAACTGCCACCTCCACATCCTCCACCCCCACCCCCACCACATCCTCCGCCTCCGCCGGAACCACAACCTCCACCTACACCTCCGCTGCCTCCACCATATCCACTGGTAAAGGTACCACCAACATAACCACTACGTTTTTTTCTAGGTTCACCATCATCAGCACATGCAAATACAAGCATGGATATAATTGAAATGGACACAACCATCAAGCATAGCAACACCAACACACCTTGGGCGCTTTCAATCAACTCGAAACCACCACCACCCCCGGACGGAATATGATCACCATTTAGAGAACTTAAAAGTCTCATCACTTCACTTTAGTAGTGAGAGCTGCCAAATTAAAAGAAACAGGATAAGGGAAACTATAGAAGAAGTCAGCAATACTATTTTGGACCAGTCGCATAAATTGTACTCCTATCTAGTGTATGTAGAAAAAAGGTCGCTTTCTTAATAAATTTCAAGGGAATCATACAAGTTCACTGCAAGAAATTTCCCTCATTGCGAACTGTTTAATATAAAGATAGTAAAAAATTAAAACCCTTTATGTCTCTAATTATTTGTTTCAAGCCTAAATGGAGTAAATGTCATGTGAAACGAATTTAAAAGAAAAGTGGAGTGCGTAGAAAATTGGAAACGGAGAAAGGTTGAAAATTAATATCCATCAAAATAAATCTCCTTTTTCTTTGTTTCTAGACACTAAAGAAAAATCTCCCTAGCACATTAATTAGCAGAAGACGTTAAGTTGAAGTTGAAGGCTTGATGCTGAACTTTACAGGTTATATCCTAGGTTTTTTTTTACTGTATCTTCCTTCTAAATTTATCAATCATTTTCATATATATCCTATTGCAATCTCAAAAGAACTTTGAGCTTAATTTTCTAATAATTTGCATCAAACCCCTAACAAAATGATGCAAAAAATCTCAAGAATTGAAGACTCAGACAACAACATAAAAACAGAACACCCAAAACAATTTGACAAATCAATCACGCATTACAGACACATACATGCTCAAGCAAATATAAGATGCTCGTGAGCGAACACACACGGACAAATGTAGCAATCTGAAATTCTCATTCATTTTCACTGTTCCTCCATCATAACTTAATAAGATGCTATCAGGTAGATGATCATAGCAGGCAATTTCATCCATATTTCGTTAGGACATAACAGCAATTTCGGGAACAAAATACGTATTACTTAAACTGCATATAGTTCAATCAACTTATATTCATTCTCCTTTGGGTACTTGCAGAATTCTACAACATGCATTAGTAGCATTACATATAACAGCTACTGCAACACTTTACATTTATCACAGTTAAACACACAATGAAAGTGGATTTCTATATTGTCAGTCCATACTTCAGAAGTTCCTATGTCAAATTGTCAATAGTTGGAAATATGACCTTCACTCAGTTGAGCGTCTATTTCATGGCAGTCATAGCACTTAATGCAAAGAAGTCTTATTCTCAATTAGTACTAAATACATATATAGAAGCTATAAGTTAATAACAAAAAAAGCTACTCGTATATAACTATAGGTCAACTTTACAGCGTTATGTTCATCTTATAACAATGAGTCAATGATAGACATGCCAAATCAATATGCTTACGGCTTACCCATTATCCATTACAAATCCAAGAAAGGTTGATAAAAATCCACAATGTCAGCAATGTGCAAAACAGGAGTGATACTACAATTTCCTATCAACTTATCAAGTATCAAGACACACTAGTTCATTGCATCGCATTGATCTTAAACCCCCCCGTCATTAATTATAGATCCTGTAGACCTGGCCAACACTACTATAGAAGCCATTCACCATACGGTCTTATAAATTTAGGCAATAGCACAATGATACAGCTGTTATATGTCATGTAATCCATGTAGAATTAAACTAAAATATCAAAGTTATGTACAACACACATATTTTCCAACTTAACATATAAAGCAGTTGAAGAAGCCATGATCATTATGCCTAGTAGGTTAGCACATATAAAGAAGGAATGATCAACGTTCTTAATCAAGCAATTTTAGTCGTTCCAGACGTGCAGAGGTGATAGGTATTAATCCATCTATCAAAGATGGATAGATTTCTGTAAACCTTTCTTTTCCACATCAGCTTTCAATCATATATTTTATTTTTCTTAAGAACTAAGATAATAAATTGAAAAATGCTTCATATTTTAATAACAAATTAATATATTACTTCCAATCATATTATTGTTATTAAAGATTTGTAACTTTGACCTCATAATGTTAGTAGGAAGAATTTTAAGAAGCGGAGAAGCTATAAACTTTAACATATTATACAATGTAGGTCGTTATTACATTACTATGTCAACTAATTAAAACTCAAAAACAAACTCACAACAATAATTTTATAATTTATATCTTTTACTATGTCAAACAATGAACAATCATCTTCCCATATCACCAGGGACGGAGCTACATTGGTAAACACTGGTGCACATGCACCAGAACCTGTAGCCCCCAAAAAAAAATGAAGTTGATTTTTTTTTTTAAACAAAAATCTATCAAAGAGAGTTATTATTAATAACAGGTCTCTTAGATGCTAAGTAATAACGCCGAATCCACTAAACTACTTCTGCTTTATTCTCGCTGCTTTATTTTTGTAATTAAAAGAGACCTGTTGTTTTCTAAGGTCATTTTTTTGCTATTCTTTAGAATAATGGGTCAAAGAGACCGGTTTTTTGCTATTCTTTAGAATAATGGGTCAAAGAGACCGGTTATATTAAAAAACCGGTCTATAAGGTCATTGTACTTTTTTTTTTTTTTTTTTTTTTTTGCTACTATTAAAATAATGGATGGGTACTATTTTATTTGTAGTAACTTTGACTTGTAAGATTTATTAAGTACTATTTGGTAGTATGGATTTTTATGTTCTATTTTTAGATTGAAATCAATTTGGTTGTAATACATTTTTTTTAATATAATTTTTGGATTGAAAACAATTATGAACTAGACCCAAATTTTTTTTGTATTTTCATATGTGATCAATAAATGATGGTGACTCACCATCTCGAAAATCCTAAATCTACCACTGCATATCACTCACAGAACTAAAAGATAATATATTATAATTTACATAATGTTAAATTATACACAATAACTTTTTTTTTTTACAGTAAGGTTTGGGTCACCTGTATCCCCGTATCCTATGGCTTATACTCCGTAGCTTAATATTTTTTTCAGAGTAGGGTTTGAATTGATTGTGATCTTCATATTCAGAAGTGGGAACCCAGCAAGTAGCAGCAGCTCAATATTTTTTAAGACTACTGAGTCACCACCACATCCTCCACCATCACATCCTCCGCCTCCTACTCCGCCGCCACTAGCAAACAATCCACCACTAGCAAAAAATCCACCACCACCAGGTCCACCACTGCGATTACTTCCAGGTTCACCATCATCAGCACAGGCAAATACAATCATAGACATAATTGATATGGACATAACCATCAAACAGAGCAGCACCAACATAACTTGGGTGCTTTCAAGTAACTCAAAACCACCACCCCCATACGGAATATGCTCACCATTAAAAGAACTTAAGAGCCTCATCACTTAAACCTGTTAGCAAGGGCTACGAAATATATAAATGTGATATACTTGAAATGAACATCACAAAAGTATCATGGAAGCTCAAGGAACCTATAAATAAGGTTGGGATAGGGAATTTAAGGGGATAGTAGGGTAAAATATCTAGAATAATGATGAATTTATTTGCGCATCACTATTATAAACTTGGAATATCTCCTCTTCACCCTTTTCTTTCTTACTTTTGTTTTTCCCCTCAAGAAGTTCAGGGTTCCCTGGGAAATGAAAAGATACAGGGTAAGGGTATTTGTAGGATAGGTAAATATCTCAATGAAGTCATCATGTTATATTTTTATTTTCTGAAGGACACATACTACTCATAAAGTCAGCTTATGAACCAGTCTCACAACTAGTTTTTAGTGTTAGACTTCATACCTAGACTGAGTACATATTGATTGATAACTTTACAAAGGAAGTTACTCCTAACAGAAGAAATCTCCCTAATCACTAATTTTGTAAGAAAAATTTATTATATTCTCTACTGTTCATTTACTCCAAGCCTAAATGACACTATTATTGAGACGGACCAAAAAAGTCTCCTTAGCCTCTATCTTAGTGGGTTTTGAAGTTAAACCATACCGATTGTCCTACGCTTTTGGACAGTATCGTGCTTCAAAATTCATTTTGTTCCTAAATTCCCTATCGTAATCAGTAAAGAGCTTTCAACATGAAAATTGCATAAACCGTGCCACTAACAAATATGACACAAAATCCATTAAGAATCAGACTGGTCAGACATCAAACAATATCGACAAATCACAAGTTTATCAGATCATTTTTCAAGGTTGACAACTAATCTGCATTCGGCTGCTGTGTTGTGCATTGGTGGTCAAAAGCATACGTTCTCAAGCACATAAACACATGAACACACAGAACTTTAGCAATTTGAAAATTTTATTCTTTTTTGCAGCTCTTCCATCCTAAGATGTCATTAGGTAGCTCATCACAGGTTTTTACATAGGACAGAATTTTTTGTAACAAAAGAATTTAAATGCATTATTCTGCGATTAAATCCATTCTCCTTTGTGTACTTGCATCATTCTACATGCAGTACTTATAAAGCACTTAACACAGTTTAAACACACTGCAAAAGTGGATTTTTATATTTCCAATCCGTACTTCCTATGTGTTAATTATGGGTTTGGGCCGCACCTATCATCAAGTTAGAGAGAGAGAGAGAGAGAGAGAGAGAGAGAGTCCACTTCACAAGTCTAAGGAGATTCCTTCCCAAAGCCATATGGCAATAAGAGGAGTAGCCCCTTAGCTTTATATAGTCTTAAAAGTGTTTTTAACTGTCTCTTCCTTTATAAATGTCGGATACTTACATGTGTTGTTTGGGAAGGCTATACTTCAACAATATGTCAATTATAATTTGGTCAGTAACACATACCTGCAAATAGACAGGCATACTATGCCTCCTCATCAAAACCATCATCCAAAGACCGCCTTTCCTTTTCATACGCATGCATGTTTCTCTGTAGAATGTGAAAGAAAAGATAGGTTTAATAAGCTAGGCTAATAGAATGTTGGAGGAAGAGGTGCTACAGTCAGAAAATGATTGAACTCCAGTCAGTTGAGAATCTGTTCCATAGCTTTCACAAAACCCAGTGCAAGGTAGTTTAAACTAGCACAAAATCATTGTATGTGGAAGCTAAAGTTTGAGCTTTAATACAGACAACATATATACATAAAATGATATACTAAGACAAATTTAAAAGTATTTAAGTCAATCAAGTTCATCTAAAATAAATGTAAGTCATGCAAATATATACGAAGTAGATGCTAACCTATCATCCAGAAACACAGCTTAAGAAATCGTTAGATATCTGAAGTTTTCTTTCCCCAGCTCTGATATTGATATCAGCAAAGTTCTAAAAAGGAGAAATACTTTTAATTCCATTCAAAACAAACTAGTTCATTGCATCGGATTGATTTTCAATCTCTGTCATAATCTGAAACTCCTGGAAATCACTATAAGAAGTCCATCACCCTAAGGTCTATAAGATTTAGGCCACAGCACCAGAAAATTACAAGATATAAAGAAAACTAACTACAAGCAGAAACACAAGTTTATAAAGGGAAGATGTTATCAGACATTCAAGAGAGATGAGAGATTAAAAAAAAAGGTTCAAAGTCAGTTAACATCATCAAAAAAATTCTATGAGCTTCTGAATGTCGAGGACTAAGATACCTAGATTTGGTCAATTTATACTTCTTGTAAGATGCAGCAGCAATCATGCAGTCCTTGAAGCACAAACAAACAATACATGAAAAGGCTCAGATACTCTGGTTTGTCATAAGGTAGGCACACAGATCATCCAAATTAACATATAGTGTAAGATAATCTGATGAAGTCCCACAAAGCCAAAACTGGTTATGCATCTTTCACAGGTTGCCAATATGAAAATCTGGAATAAACATGCTGCTTGTATGGAAATAAAGATGAAACAACAGAACATTTTTTTTTTCGAATTAAGTTCCTGCTGATTTCTGGCAGAAGATCCTGTCTTTGTTTGTATTGGCAGACCTGCAGGCTGCAGTTATCTCGAAAGAACTGGAGTTTGGTATCAAAGTTGTGAAGTGAATTGGCAAGAAGCACCAGCTGTATAAATTATTCAGCCTGAATCAATATTATATGGCTTTATAGAAAGTTTATTACACACTGAAAAAGCCAGATATGGGGAAGTGATTTTGGGGGAAATTGATTGGAGATTATACTTCGATGCTATTAAATCATCAAATGGGGTTTGCCCCCAAACTTTTGAGTGGCTAGACAGTCTTGATAACAGACTAAAACAAAATCAACTTCTCCTCTATTTATGCCTAACACCTTCCCTCTAACTGATTTTCCTCTTCTTGTTGTTCATTCTACCTCTAGCTGAATTGTAATGACAAAACTTTTGAGTGGCTAGACACTCCAAATACCGACTAAAACAAAATCAACTTCTCGACAATCTCCATAATTTCTCTCCCTAATCTCCTCTGTTAATAGACTAACAACTTCCCACTTCCCTCTAACAGATATTCCCCTTGTTCATTTTACCTGATGACAAAACCTACTGTGCCCGTCAATATACCCAACAGAATACTAAATACTCGAAATAATTACCAGAAAAGCAGAGCTTCAGACCTAAACTTCACATAAATTAACTTCAAAGTCTCTTGTAGACGTTCAGACTTCAGAAAATCTCAGAAATGAAGGTTTGGTTATGTATCCCTTTGATTAAAATTTCATTGTAACATCTCATGGTGATTAATAACTCTTTTCAAAAAAATAAAAAAAGTCAATCTTATGATCTTATCAACTTGCTCTTGTTTTCCTCCAAAAAAAAAAAAAAATTAAATAAATAAAACACTACACTAAACTAAACTAAAACTATTTGCCCTTGCATGAACTTTTTCCTCCTCACGCTTTAAATAGACATATACCACCAAAATTTCTCAAGGACAGACCAAACTAGTTGTGGCATAAATCTTCGATGATCATTTTACTCTAAAAGACATTATTATCATGGATAATTAAGTTACGACTCCTTCCTAGTGTAAAGAAGATACAAGCTTGGAAACATGATACTCATCACAAATGAAGGCGCAGGAAAAAGTAGATTACAAAAGGGAAGGACTCCTATCACTGTCAAATCATCACTCATCTAATAAATAGAATAAGGAGAATATAAGAGGTATAAAATTAAGCCAGATTGTAGGATGGAAAAGGCTAAAAAATAAAGTTTGAAAAACACATCTATTCTATGGAAACTTGGAAACATGATAATTACATACGCTGACATAATACATTGCAAGTACTTATGAGCTCTAGCTCGCTTGCAGCTTGTCAGTCAATCATCAGCCACTAGCAGAAATATACTCTATATTGTAAGTTGAATTCCCACTGCAATTAATGTATGCTTACAGATATTAAGTACTCGGGTTTTTATTAAGTACTCGAGTATAACATAAACTGGGAAAATTATATATGAGTAGTTTCTATACAAGAAAAACTATACATGTTTTATTTTTCGCTAGATTTCAATAGAAATTTCTAGAATCATTCACAGGGGTATATATGCACACCAGCACGAGCACTCACATAACACATATATAGACGTATATACTATGAGGGTATACTGATATTTTACAACTTTTTAACCTCCACACCCTCCGCCGCCTCCACCCCCACACCCTGCACCTCCTCCATCACCACACCCACACCCTGCACCTCCTCAATCACCACCCCCACACCCTGCACCTCCAGTGCGATGTTTTTTAGGTTCACCATCATCGGCACACGCAAATACGAGCATGGATATGACTGAAATTGACATGATAATTATACATAGGAGCATCAGCATAACCCCAAGACTTCCACGTAACTCGAAACCATCACCCCCATGTGGAATCTGCTGAACAGAACTCATTAACCTCATCACTATACCCTCCCTTGTCTTCAGTTCTTTTTTTTTTTTTTTTTTTTTTTTTTTTTTTTTTTTTTTTGTGGAGGAAAGTTCTTTCTTATCGTGTTTCTCCTCAAGAATTTCAAGGTCTCTAGGAAACAGATAAGGCACATGGTACATGTATTTGTAGGATAGGTATAAGTCATCATGTTGTAATTAGATGATGCAAATTTGTAAAGTAAATGCATACTTCTTACTTAGCATTTTGTGCAGCAATTCAGCGGTTGACAAGTCTCGCAACAGATATTTTAGTTTTGAACTTAGACTGAAAAAAGTTGCTTTCTTGACTTTTCAAGGCTAGTAACTTCACAGAAACTTCACATCAGCTATCTTATTTGCTACTACATCTATTACATAATGTAAGGCAAACATGGTTGTGCAATTTCTTTGACCACTAATATCTCTTCAAATAGGTTAAGACAAAGTATTCCAAGTCATTGATCTCTAGCAACATGTTTCTTAAATCAATTGCTTCCTAAAATATCTCTAATGTTCTTGGAGTTGACTAGGAGCATAGAATATTATTTTTTCTGCAATTACATAAAGCATTGAACATTTTCCCACACATGAAAACAAACACATAGAAACATGTGGCAGGTTTTTCCATCCACCTAGAACAAGAGGCAGACTCAAAATCCAACCTACTTTGTTTAGTTACAAAGTTCTAAGTACTGTATTTAAAGTAAATTTTAGATGCAGAAAACATACAATTCAATTACGAAGTACTTACAAAGCACATGCACACGCGCACACACACATTTAGAAGTTAGTATCCCTTCTTTGGAATATATCATGACAAATGAATGCCCAAGTCTTTTCTTGATCAGAAAAGTTATGCGTAAAATGTTAAGAGAACCAAAAATGAACAGTACAACCTAATATTAATAGAGTAATGAATGAAGATAGGTACAACAGTTCAAGAGATGAATTGCACTAAGATAAAATACCTGTTCCACATAGTCTTGCAGCCATTACAACGTAAACTTAACTCCAAAATCTGCACAAAAGAATATGGAAGTTAAAGTTTAAGAAATACAGACAACAAATACAAAGTTCTTGCTCAACCTATAAATTTTCAAATCAATCAAGTTCATTTGAGCACAATGAAACCATGCCAATCTATAAGCTTACCGCCATCCAGAGCTTCAAACATATCCTTAGATATCCAGTTCATTCCACAGCTCTGATCTTTATTAATGTTCATGGGAGGTAGTCAGAACTCCAAAATATCAGCAGAAAATAATTAGGAGTAATACATCCAATGCCATTCAAAGCAGAAAACTTCATCACGCTGCATTGATCATCAATCCCTGTCAAAAACGCTATGGAACTTGGACAGGAATATCTAGAAGCCAGTTACCTCAACTTCATTCAAAATCAAGGTAAAATTAAGTACAGGGCCTACAGGCACTACACATAAGTTTAATATGGGTCGAAAAGTAAAAACACATAGACATGATAAAGATGAAAGCTCACATTTTTTTTCGAATATATTTGGTTTAATAGTCTAAACAATCTGACATGATCAAAATAATTTCCATGAACTTATAAATGTCAATGTAGTCCTTGCAACAGGAACAAAAAGATGCCTAAAAAACCTCATATTCAATCCAATATCAGAAACACAGCAAATACTGGTACAATATATGGTGATCAAGTACCATACTCGAGTTATTCAAATTTCCCTCAAATTAACTCATTTTCTTTCTATATCGTAGTATCAATGGACCTACTTACAAAATTACAAGCACCTAAAACAAGAGAATACTTAAATTTGAACAAACCTTTCTCGCCCGATATTAATAAGCCCTATTTTCACTTGCCAACAAACAAAGGATTTAATTTGCTAGTAACAATCACCTAAAATCTGAATAATCCCACAAAAATTCCAAAAATCAAACAACTTTCAATCATTACAACTCATCACCCAATACTACGAAAGTCGATGATCGCATCAAAAATCGAAAATTTCCTAAGAAAACGTGATCTATTTAAAAAAAAAAAAACGAAAAACCCCAGATCTTAAATACAATAACCTGTTTCAATTCATCAATATACATTAGAAATTATCAATCAAATCCATCGATGAGTAAAGCAGCAAATCAATCAAATTAGGGTTTGAGCAAAGATCTGGGGTAACATGAATTAATTTAAATAATTAATCAATTGAAACAAAATATTTAACTGACAGATTGAAATCGCAAACCTTCTTTAATCTTTGAGATATAAATTTGCCCGATGATAGTGAGCTTGGTGGTAGTGGAGAGAGATTGTTGCCTTAATTTTTTTAGGGGAAAACAAGCAACAATCTCTCTCCACTTCCAACACGCTCTCTCAAGCAATAATCTTGGTAATATTCAACCATCAAACAAGAATTTCACCTAATAAAAGATGAATTGATGATGAATTTTTTTTCAGATTTGCAGATTTGATATGAACTGGTAGAAATTGAATGTAGGAGTTGAGAGTTGGTGAATGACTTGAACGGAGCGACTGGATGACGGGGTAAATAAGAGACTTCCAAAGTGTATTGACTTCATGAGGGAAGAATTGCCAAAGTATGCCTTTATTGGAAACAATTTTCAAAGTAAATGCGTGGCAAAACTATTTACCCAACTAAGCTTTCAGTGTAAAACGTCAATTAGGATGACGTTTTTATCCTGATCATTTTTTAAAAAAAAATTCAGTCAAGGCAAAATCGTCATCCAACGTGGCGTTTTTACCCTGACTGATGGTCAAGGTAAAAACGTCATCCTGGTTGGCGTTTTACTCTCAGCCATAAAGCGCCAGCCTGGTTGGCGTTTTTACCTGCAACACCCAGCCTGCAAACTGTAGGCACCACACCAGCCACAAATACAGCAACAGCAGCAACAACAACATCAACCACAACAAAAGCAAGCACCACAACAACAACAACAACATCAGCAGCAACAACAACAACAACCAGTTCAATGAAAAGAATGAATGTGTATGGTGAAGTTGATAATGGACAGAAAATCAATTAAATTCAATTAAAAAAAGTCAGTAAAATTGATAATATTTGTTTAGATACAACGTACTAGAGAATCCGATTACAACAAACTAGCAAAAGAAGTTATAAGATCCTGATTCATCTATTCGATGTATTGCTGTCTATCAACTCGCGGTCTCCTACGACGATAGTACTGAGATACTGTTGTGAAAGGATCTGGAGTAGAAGTCTGGGGAGGAGTCTGTTGGCTGGATGATGGTCCCTCCTATGATGAGTATGACGCAGACATGGGTATGGTGAAATCCTCCTGATTGTCAAAAAATTACGGGGACTCTATAGGGGACGTGTGAGTCTGTCCCCTTCTACTCTCGCCTACCTCACGGTGTGAACCCTGGTGTGATTGGTCCCGCCCCTGGATAAGATGACCATGACCATGTCTCTGTAAGCTACTCAGAGTCATTGCCTGAATTTCATCTATCTCCGGTATGGTGGGATATGATATGCTTAAGACTCTCAGTGCATCATGTATAGCAAGCATATCAAACGCCTGCATTAGTCAACAGTCAGTTAATTTAATAATACCAGAAGTTACAAATTGATAAAAAAAAATAAAAAAACAAAAATCCAACTAAAACTCACATATCCACTAATGTCTCCAAAAGCTGGTTGATAATGAGTTGAGGGTGGGGTGTAGTTAGGGTTGATGAAACGCCAGGTAATGCTCTTGTACCATACCATGTATGGATCATGATACTCCATCCGGCCTTGGAAAGGCGCACCATCCGCGACGTGCTGCAACCACTGATCCCACATGTCAATGAAAGGGACATGCTGAACTGCCCAGCTCACGTCCCCCTTTCCTCGTCGGTCTGTCCTGTGCAAGTAGACACTCGTGTCACACGTGGCGGGGACGGCCTAACGAAGGCCGAACTGTCGCATGAATCTATCGGGGAGGTGATCCTCCACTACCTCAAAACAGATGAGGACTGTCATGGCACGCCACTCCATCTGATGATCACGAAGATATGGGGGCATGACATCGACTAGGTCAGGGACGTACACATCCCACGCCATCTGCATTAACACGCTGTCATTAACATCATAATTAACTTATTGAAACAATGAACGAGGTGTTAAATTAGTTTTTATAGTGAACTATCACCTGAGACTCGCTCAGTCTGTCGAATGCGTCTTTGTAATACGGTAGACCCCTCGCTGCATTTGTAACGAGCTTGTATTGTATGAGGGAAGATATGTAGGTTGTTGCTCTGTCAAGCGAATAGTCTGTTGAGTACATATAGGCACCATTTCCACTTACAAATCAGTGGGAAGAGACCTCATTGCAACGACTCCCCTCAAAACCTCCAAATGGTCGTCATTCAAAACAGGTAAGATTTGAACCCCACTGACACTCTCAAACCTCATTTTAATGTTCAGTTCAACATTCATTGGGTTTGAAGCAGTTATAGTATAAACCTTCTTCAACAAATCATTGTAAGTCATACAAGGTTTCAATGCCAACGATTCCATTTTTCCTCCTCTATACTCGACGTTCAATCCGACACACAAAATTTCACCCCCCAACGGCATAACAAAACTGTAGGGTTTCGTAGTGACCCGACACTACGCGGAAGGAAACCCACCAAGACCCGCCCCTTAATTAAAGCAATTAAACAAGCATAATAAACTTAATCAAACAAGATTAAGGACAAGAATTATACCTTTGACGCGTGCTTCGCTCCTAAAGAGCTCTTACTTCAAAATCCCGAAAAGACGAGATCTCCGATGGATCGTACCCTCGACCCGACCCGAACGTCCTAAGTCTTGAAGGTTAGTCAAGACCCGGACAAAATAACTATGAGTTTTACGAATCAAAGGTTTACTCTTTTCTAGAGTTGCCTTTTTAATTCCACTCAAGGTTGTTTCAAATCCCAATACCAAGCTTGGTATTTATAGGGAAATGATCCCTTGATTTCCAATCTCCCATCAATGTGGGAGAGTTGGTAAAATGACAATTATTTAATTCCAAAATTAAATAATTAATCAACTCAATCACAAATCGACACATGGCACAAATATAGAGAAAGCCAAGTGAAGACCAAGGCTTGGGGGGACCATTGCCTTGATCCCCAAGGCCATGTATTGGTCCCCACACACCATGCCCAAAACCGGGTCTAGGTGTGCTAGCTGGCTGCCAGCTAGCGTGCCAGCTGGGGCTGCCAGCTAGCGTGCCTTGCTGCCCAGCACCCAGCCAGCCAGCCAGTGCACGCTGCTGCTGGGCTGTGCTGGTGCTACGTGCTGGCGCTGGGCGCTGCTAGCACCTAGTGCTAGCATTAGCCCCAGCAGCCCACGCACTCACTCGCATTCTCTTCGCGCCTCATTGCTAGCACAGCCAACATGCGTGCTGCTACCGAGCCACGCATGCTGGCCACACTGTCCCTCGCACCATTCGCATACCCCATCGCACACACGCACTGGCATTATGCCTACGCTAGCACTAGCCAGTGCCTAGCACTGCTTGTGCTTGATGCGAGGCATGCGCACACGCTCACGCACTCGCATGCGTGGTGCTGCTACCTAGCACCAAGCCAGGCATTGCACACACACGCACCAGCCATGCGCCACGCACCACGCACTGCCAGCCCACACGCATCAATGCGCCTGTGATGCGAGGCTGCTTGTGCGAGGCTAGTGTGCGAGGCTGCGAGTGCCAGGCCTAGCATCGAGCTGGCGCGCAACCCTTCACATGTGCTGCGATGCTTAGTGCTGCCATGCAAAAGCTAGCACTCAAGCACACGCACATGGCGTGCCATTGCCAGGCAGCCAGCCATGCCAGCGCCTGGTGCTGGCGATGGTGCTGCCAGGCCAGGCACGCACGCACGCAACACCTAGTGCTTGCGATGGTGCGCCTGGTGCTGCCATGGCCTGCGATAGGCGCCATATGCACCCAGGCACCACGCTATCATGCTTGCTAGCTGCTATGGGCTGCCTGGTGCCTGTGTGGCCTGCGATGGCTGCCATGCGCACCTAGGCACCCATGCTAGCTTGCGACGGTGCCTAGCACACCATGGTGCGCCTAGCACACACATGGTGCACCTAGGTTTGCGATGAGCTAGCCTAGCCTAGCTATGGCTACGCTCATACTTGTCGATTGTGATTTTGCGACACTCGGTATCGACACCCTAGGCTCGATTTCCGACGTCTGTATCCGTAAAACTCTGTCGACTCATTAAATCCTTTCGGATTAATTCGACGTCTCGGATCTGAGATTCGATTGGGTTCGACCCGAAGGGTTCAGTTAAGATTAAGTTGTAATATCAATTGTACCCTGATATTACTGATCGGAAGCGGCCTCCACCTAGGCATTCCGATCACTTGACCTTACTGAAGAATTACCTCTGTAATAATTCTGAACCCTCTATCGGAATAATACACTTGTTGGAAGGACACCATTCCTTTCAAAAACAATCAATTGTGAAGCCATGTTCTACATAACAATCGGAACACATATTAGATGACACAAATACACAACACAACTAAAACCACAATGATTCCATTAAATCCTCAAGCTAAGCGTATATACAACTTAGTGTTCAACAATGTACTTATTTACCTAGTTAATCAACAATGAAGTATATATTTAAATGTACCTAATTCAACAATGTAGTTCGTAAACATACTTGAAATTTACACACTAAGTATGAAGAATAATGTATGCTTCATATACATGGTTTGCAATTAAACAACATAAATATAAATATACTTTATTTCAATAATTAAACAACAATGTATTATGTAGTCATACTTATTTCGCATACTTGAACAACAATATAGTACATACATTGTAAATTACAAACATAAATTCCCAAAAAAATCATAAACAAGTAAAATAGTTAAATTCAATACATACCTCAAATTCGATCAATGTATTGCGTAAAAGTGTTGAACAAAGAAGGAGGAATAATTTTTAGTGAGTATGATGAAGATCTAATGAGATGTGATGAATTTGCTGCAAATATGGAGGATTGGGCGAGCAATGTGGCGCGGGTTAGGGCTTGGAAATTGAGGGTTTTTGTGTTTTTTTTTTGAAGAACAATGGAAATAATAACTCTGCTTTGCCTGAAATACCCGATATAAAAACGCCAGCCTGGTTGGCGTTTTTGGTACAACGGTAAAACGCCAACCAGGCTGGCGTTTTTACCTTTGGCCAATTTTTAAAAAATTTCAGTCAGGGTTAAAACGCCACCCTGGATGGTGCTTTTGCCTTGACTGAAATTTTAAAAAAATAAATGTCCGGGATAAAAACGTCATCCTAGTTGGCGTTTTACCCTGAAAGCTCAATTTGATAAATAGTTTGCCACGCGTCTACTTTGAGAAATTGTTTCAATTAAAAGCTCACTTTGGCAATTTATCCCTTCATGACTTGGGCTTCCAAAGTGTATGATCCATTCGCTTAAATAGCGTTAAACTAGATCAAATAAATAGTGCATATGAAGGTAATAAAATACAGAGAGATAAGATAACAATACTCCGTGAAACCCTATCTTTTTTTTTTTTTTATAACCGCGGACTTTTTATTTTTTATCGTCTGGATACTCAACTCCATTTATAAAGTCCCAACCAACCCCGCAAAAAACCCATTACTCCGATAT